GGCGGCGTATCCGACGTGCGTAGGGTGGTGCGGGCGAGCGCCGCGAGCAGCGCGTCTTGGCTCTCCTGGGTCATCGGCGGCGGAGCTCCAGCCGGCGTCGGCGCAATGGCCATCGAGATCTGGACCGTGTCGGGGCTGAGGCTCGGGCTAGCCATGGTGGCGGGACGAAGAAAAGGCCCACGGGAAGTTGTGAGCGGTGACTGACGGGACGCCGCGTGATGCCATTGGTTGAAATCCGGCACCGTATAAATAGGCCCGACGGCCAACGCATACAAACACCAAGAGCGTGGAATTACATACGAATGTTCGAGCCAACCGGATTCGCGCAAAGGTCGAAAAAGAAATCCATTTCAACCAATCCGGGGTGGACGTGGCGACGTGGTGAGCTCTGTCCTCGTACCACGTGCGAATTTGTGTACACAAAAGAGAGTCTAGCCTCTAGGGGTAGAAAGCAAACTCGAATCCCGAGCTCGAGGCAACGTCGTCTCTGTCGCAGCGTGTCGACGCATAGAGACGCCACGTGTCTTGCCGTTGCTATCAGGTTGGAAACGCTACGCTGTCGTCGCAGAGCACTGGCTTTTACAGCAAGACCACCGAGAGCCATCGCATGCAAGTCGCTTGCGCAGCGATGGAACAGCGGCGGCCACGCAGGCAGACATCGCTGGCGTCGCCCTAGTCTTGAGCGGACCCACACGGCAAACATCAAGCAGCGCACGCAACCTTGCTACCTATCTTTCGCCTCGGCAGCCTACGTGTACCCGGTAGCGCGACGTTGTGTCCACCTGCAAGGCCATCGATATATTGTCCTTGCTTGCAGCCGCTTCAGCCAAAGCATGTTCCCGTCAATGCGCAGCTCGGACGCACTCGCCTCGGGTCCCAACGCGCGTCGGCCCCGTCTTACGTCGTACGTGGCAGTTCTCATTGATACATCCAAGTCCGTCGTGGTCATGCCTCATGCGCACGCGGTAGCACAGAAAACATTATCGCATGTCGTCCTTGGATCCTACCCCCCGCACCAAGGGCGTTTCATCATGACGTGGCACGCGCTCCGACCATCCGGATACGCTTGTGAAAAATAGTACGTGAGAAACCAGTGGGAAAGATGAGAAACGTGGCATCGCCACAAGCCACCGTGTGGTATCACGCGTGTGGGTTCAATACCCGCAGGTCCACCCCACCTGCGCAATGTACATGGTAGCTATTGAAAGACGAGATGTTGATTGACCATTATGACACGCACCCAACAAGACAGCATCGACGAGCCAGAGATTGACAGGTCTCGGACTTGCGCAACCGAGCCCCTCGACGATTGGAGAGCACGTTGACCGTGATCGCGTCTGCAAAGTGCATTGGGCGCAGACCGCTGAGGGTCTCGAGGCGTCGCCGTAGCGCACGTTCACAAACGCTTGGCTCGTCGTCTGGAGAAAGCTTTTGACGCGCCGACAGACAGCGCAGTCATCGCCCAGCGCTGGCCAGACGCGCAGGACGAGGGTCGTCGCCGCCATCGCCTTCGCATACGGTGCCAGCAGCCGCTGCAGCGAACACGCGACCACCGTGTCCAGCGCTTAAGCGCCCGATTCAAGCAGAGCACGCGAGCGCAGAAGTGGCGTGGCAACGAGGCAGATGCGCGAAGCTGTGCTCGTGCTGCGCGGTGTGTACGTGGCAAGGTCGATGGCCTCGCGAAGCGCAAAGCCCGACTTCAACATCGACCGGCCACAGACTCGTCGGGTGCTAGACGTAGTCGAAGATACAGTCTGGCTTTAGCGGCGTTTTCGCATCCTCGTCATTCTCGACTCCGTCGGCGGCGGTGTTGCCGTGCCGCACAGCTCGTCGGCCGTGTACATGAGATCGTAGTCGTTAGGCCAGGTCGCCGACGAGAATATGAGGCGTCCATCTCGTCTATCGCTTTCTTTGTCGTCGTTGCTGGTGCGGCCACGCGGACAATCGCGATGGCCAAGCGGTCGCCCTCGATAAGGCACGCGAGCACGCTTTGGCTTGCCGCCGAGAGCGCGGTAAGGTCGTCGCGCGTCAAGGCACCGGTACATGGTGTCACAACCGTCTTGGCCCGCAGCAAGTCGATCGGTAGTCGCGTCTTATCTTCTTCGAGCAGCCATGACGGCGCGGTGGCTTGCTGCAGCCGGAAGCTCGCAAATTTCATGCACGTGGTATTCCGGATACCAAGAGCGCCATCCGGATACTACAAGACCTCACCGCCTTGCGACTTCAACGCAAGACGACTGCAACAAGGTCCTTAGCTTGCTAAAAGCGCGTTGCTTGGCGCTGGACCCGTGTCATGCCAAGCTAGTATCGGCTAGCTCTCTCGGCGAGTTAGCTCGTTCTTGCGCCACCAAAAGACACGCTCCAATAGATGCCACTGACAAGGCGATGCTGGAAGAAAGACATTCAACATTCAAGCGCTGGAGCGCTGCTGCTACCATCCACAGCCGAAGGAAAAGCCGAGGTCAACCACCGTCTCGCCTGCTGGCTTGCACGCAGACTCTCCTTGCAGTTCAAACCAGACCGAGGGCTAGGGCAGGCTAGGGCTCGGGTTCCGAGGCGGGTTCGTCCATGGCCAGCGTCGCGCGGATCTGGGCCTTGGCACGCAGCATATCTTCTTCGTCTCGCACCTCTTGTCCATCTTGCTTGAAGAGGATCGTCGTGCGATCGCTTGGGCGGTAGACGACCGTCACAGCTCCAAAAAGTGGTTCAACGCGGTGCAGCACGGGCTGCAAGTGCAGACACATGACCTTCTTGGCAATGTAAAGAAAGCCACGCGCCCCATCGGCAAGGAACGCCGACACCTTGCGGCATTGCGAACAGTGGCATGGCAGCGCCAGCCGCAGCGGCGGCCACTTGTGCGTGGTCGGTGTCGCCGCACGCAGCACGGTTTCCCACGCGACCTCGAGCGCCGGCCGCAGTCGCAGTCGCGCAGACGCTGGCATCGTAGCAGCCACCATCGCGTGCCACGGCGCCACCAACTCCATCGCAAAGGCGCGCTTCTCCGCGTCCGACGCTGTCGATGCCGGAAACAACGACCGCTCCTTCCCATGGTCGAGACGGTAGAGAAGGCAGCGGTGGCGGGCAGCAAAGGGCAGAGGGCACGCACGTTGCATGTCGTCGTCATCGCGCAAAGTGGATGATGACAACCGAGCGTCGACAAGCCCGTCGATGGCCGACGAGACCGCCAACGGCACCTCGGTGCGCGACACGTACGACTGAAGCGCCGCCATGCCAACGTCAATGGACGAGCGGTGCAGCACGTGCGAAATCGCCTTCTTGAGCAGCTTGGGCGAGGCGCCAAAGGCCTGGAGCACGGCCAGCGAGGCGCCATACCCGTCGTAGTTGACGCACGTCGCCGTCCACAGACTGCTCTGGACATGCGTTGCGAACGGCGCCAGGTGTTTCTGCGGTACGTCGGTGCGCACGCGCCAGACCGCCTGAGCGACCACGTCGAGCGTCCACAGTCGTCGCCGGAGGTGCTTGGACTTGAGAAGCGTGAGGAGGTTTGTGCATGCATCGATGCCAAATACGTCATGGCGCCACGCGTCTAGGCGCAGCAGATGCGCGACGAGGTGCGTCGCAGCCTCGACGTCGAGCTCTGCCACGTCAACCACGCGCGAAAGCGTGCTGAGAATGGCGCTGAAGCAATCGCGGACGACCGCCTGGAGATCGACGTCACCCACGGCGAGATTCACCAGCGAAACGAGAAGCGCAGACGCCAAATGGAGCGACGGAAGGGTATGGCATCGCGCGGTCACGAGCCGCAGCAGCGCAGGGTGCACCGTCGCAGAGCCGACGTGCTCGAGTACGAGGCGCAGCCAGGCCGTCGTACTGTCCAAATTGAGCGCATGAAGGACGAGCCCGTCTTGGAGAAAGGTCAAGAGCAGGTTGACGTCGCCGAGGGCGAGGAGCGTGTTGCCAAAAGCAACTTGGTCGGGCACGTCGTAGCCGCCGTGGAGAGCGATGACGTCGTCCAGGGCATCCCCAAACATGCCTTCGATTGCGGTCGCCAGCGCGGCGATCGATCGGGGGCCCATGAGATCGCGACGCAACGTCGAGCGCATCGCCGCTTCAAGCACCTGAAGCGATCGGCGAAACCCGACGAGGCGCGCCCGGTGGATGCGCGGCCAAAAGGCGATGCAGATGGCCGTCGGTGTGCTCGTCGGATGCACCGTGTACGTGCGTAGGTCCATGGCCTTGCCGAGCGGCTTGTCGAGAAGCGCCGACGTGACGGCCGTCGGCACATGGCAGCTCGCAAACGCAGCGACGGCAACGATGCGGTTGATCTGCGTACTTGCCTCGTAGACGCCGTCACAGAGCACCTCGATCGCAGCGTCGTGGGTTGAAGTCGATGGCTCGCCATGCAACTCGGCGTGGTCGTACAAGTAGTCGAGGTCGCAGGACCGATGGTCGAGGCCCACCTCGAGCGGACTCTCGTAGGCGCCGTGCGCCACATGCGTTGGCGACGCCACGCGGACCAGCGCCACATCCAAGCAGCCGCATGCGAGCAGCGCGTCAACGACCGCCTTGTCTGCGGCAGACAGCGCGTCAAAGGCAAGCGCATCGGCCATCGGCGCCGTCGTTGGAACGTGGAACATGGTGTGTCGTTGGCGGTGGGCGGAGGCGGCCGCCACCATCTCGGCACGGGACAGCACCTCGGGCTGCATGCTCGACTGCAAGATCGCAAATGACACTGCAACGGGCCCACAGGATCCGGATACAGCGCACCGTTCGGATACGGTTGGGAGATACTTTTGACCAATCACGTGCAAGAATTATGGTCCAACTGACGCGTCTTGGCCAAAACCAACTCCGAGGCTATTACATAGTATCGGACGCCAACGGCGTGCGAGCGTCGCTGCCGCAGCCACCGATGACCACGGACGCTATTTCACTGTCCCAACATACAATCCTTGGTTTCTTGTCGGCGACCGACCGCGCTGATACATTGATACAAACCGAGAGGGTCAAGCGTGAGCGCTTTTAAGGGTACATATAGCACGCAAAATGCCATTAATGAGGTACCCTTGGTCCTTTTTAGCGGCTCGCGTGTCTTCGCGATTCAACTGCAAAACGAAGTCGTCCACACGGTAGGCTCGGTAGGCTAGAGCCCGCCGCTGTTTCGACCCTAAACCTTGAGCTACACTACTACTATTAATAGTAGGGTACACGAATATCAACTCAATTATAAAGCAACAAACAAAGGTAGCCAGCCACCCTCCACTTCTCTCTGCCTCAAGGCACGAGCGCTGCTGTGTTGGCGCTGTTGTCGACGGCAGCACGCTCTTGATCGAAGTTCGAAGATAAAGATGCGGGGCTCGGATTGGACAGTGAAATGCTTCAACTTCGAGTGGTTGACGCATCAACGCGCGCCCGCCATTTTTCCAATCATGATGGCGCTCCTCGGTCGCCGGTCGCCCGCGCTCGTCGCCCACGCGCGCCACTTGGTCTCGGCGCCATCGCGCATGGACCACGTGTCGCTAGCGAATGGCCACGCTGTCCACTTTCACCGGTCGACGCCAAGCGACGTCGTACCTGCCTCGACGCCGACGCTCGTGTTCTTCCATGGCCTCGGTGCCTCGCATCAAACGTTCAAGTACATTGGCGCCACCCTCGGACAGCATTACCCGATCATCGCCTTTGACATGCCAGGCACGGGGCAGTCGGCGGCGGCGGCCGCCGGTAGCAAAACGCATGCCAGTCGATCGCCTCACTCTCTTGCAAACTAGGACCCGACTACAATGCGCACTCGGTCGATGCAGCGCTGGACGAAGCCATTGCGCAAATTTGTGGGCCCACGGCGCCGCGTGTCTACGTCGGCCACTCGCTCGGCGGGCACGCGGCGCTTCGCATCACGGCGAGCCACTTGAGAAAGTACGAGCCGGGCGTCGTGCGTGGCCTCGGTCTCCTTGCGACGGCGGCGCTCCAGCCGTACCACGTCATGCAGCCGTTCGTGTCCTTGCCGCCGTGGGTCTCGAGCTGGGTGCCCACTCCGGTGGTTGCCAAGGTCTTTCACGCGATTGGCTTTTCGCGCCAGCATCAAGACAGCGACTACAAGCACGGGCTCATGCGGCTCGTGACGACCGACTGGGACGTTTTGCGCGACGCCGCGTCGACCATTGCCGCCCATAAGCTGCCGTGTCTTGGAATTGCTGCGAAAGACGATCAGTTCTTACTGTTTCCGCGCTGGGACGCGCTCTGTGCGGCTATCGGGTCGCCTCAAAACGTCCGCGTGCGCTCGTATCCGTCGGGCGCGCACAACATTCCAAAGAGCCGCGCCGTCGACGTCGCAAGCGATCTACAGCAGTGGCTGGCAACGCTCGCCCTTAACGGTGCTTCTCGACCGGTCGAAACACAAACTAGAATCGGATGTTCGCAGTGCGCGTGTGACTATATCGCAAATGGTCATCGTCGTTGTGACCAAGACATCGTCCATACCCAAGCCCGTGCAATGCAATTGTATTGGTCGTGGAAGATGAAGGCTGCGGCTCCTCACAAGCGTAGTACAAGTGATGATGGCGCGAGCACGCCAGGAGAGACAGCGACGACACGCGACGAATGATCCCTAGTGTTTAATGTCTACTGTGCGCATACTGGCTCTAGAGCATCGGGTGAAAAACCTGCGTCTCTAGAGGCGCAAAGCTAGCATAGCGAGCTCGCTCGGCGTCCAGGACTTGGTTGGCCGTGCAGTACGCGTCGCACTCGTACCAAGCTTGTCCATTGCCCTCTATGATCCTGCAGAACACTGACCGAAGGCGCGCGCAGTGAGTACACGCGTGCATTGTTTCCTTCTCTAGAGGTGTCATGCTGCTACAGCGACGTGCGCTCGACCATGCGCAGCACGGTCTTGAAGGTCGGCGTCGCTTGGTTCCGCTCGATGCCGGCGCTCATGACCTGGGCGTCCTTGACGTCGATCTCCCATGTATCAAGGTAGCTCTTGTACTCTTGCATAGAGCCAACGACTTGAAAGTCGCTCTTCATGCTCTTTGCCAACGTGGGCATCTTGGGCTGCGCTGCCTTGGGCTGGCCGGCGTCCGCTTCGCGCGCCCGCTTCTTACGCTGCCGCTCCAGCTTCTCGAGCTCGGTCGCGTAGATGTGCATGCTCTGGAAAAGGACGCTGTCGAGGATGCGCTCGATCGCAATCTTCTCGGGCTCGTGGCCCTCGGGGAGCAGCTCGCGGAGCGCGTCCTCCATCGCCAAGCCCAGCGCCGTCTCCATCTCCGCCAGAGATCCGCCTGTCTAGTGCGAAGATCGAAGCGCCGCTGCACCAATCCCAATGCGACGTGAACCACCAGCCAATCATAGGCGGCGTATGATACTTCGATATTTGTGGGCAATGGCCGACGAGGACCTGTACGGCGACCTCGACACGTCCGTGACGGGCCTCAGCAGCGTGCACCTCAAGACACAGCTGCACGAGATCACGGCCAAGTACGAAGCGCTGCTCAAGGAGGCCGGCAACCTCCAGCATGTCAACGCGCAGCTCGGCGAGCGCAACCAGGTGCTCGAGCGCAACATATCTCTACTCTTTGCTACCGCGCAGACCGAGATTGGCCGCAAGGACAAGGCGATCCAGGCACTTCGCGACGAATTGCAGCACGCACAAGAGAAGGCGATGCGCCAAGCAGATCGCAGCCGTCCGTCCAACTACGATGCGCGGGCCCGCGACCACCGGCCACCAAGTGCGAGCAGCCGACCGTGCGCACGTGACTCCCGCGACTACCACCGCTAGCCGCTACAGGTTGATATACATGTGCATCTCTGTCGTTTGGGTCTCTTGTTCGTATACCGGTATGGGGTGGATGCACATTCTGTGCGTCTTGGCCGGCGATCGGTGCGCTGCCAGTGCAAGCGGAGGTGAGAGAGCTCACTGTACGAGCACTGCTTCATACTGCTTGGATACACTTCGCTTGCTCGTGCTGAGGGTGACTTGAATCTCAGTTGTCGCCGCTGGAATCTTGACAGACCTGCTTGGGTAGGGTTGACCGACGCGTGCTGCACCAAACAACGTGTGCCTGCGATGGCCGGTGTCGCCGACTCTGGATTGAGTTTCTACCGCACGTGTAATGGTGTAAAGGATGTCGGGAAAAGCAAGCCCACTAACGAGGCAAGTCCTTCCCTTACAGACCAAACGTACATCTTCTCGACCATGCTATCATTCACCACCAGCGCGCACGTCAGCACCGACACACTCGCCGACCGAATGCCGCAGTCTTCGGCGTCGGCCAAGCCCATGCGTGCATTCACGTATGGTCCCTTGTTTGGTCTCGACGCGGCGCAGGCATCTCGCAGCGTCCGATCGAATGGCTCACCAAAGTTGGACAACACAACGTCCTCGTTTGCGTGGCTCGGCACATCGCCACTTTCAGAGGCACCACTGCTGCATGATCGCAACGACGACGCGCCCCGACGTCGCAGCTGTCTCAAGCAGCGAGCGGCCACGACGAGTCGATGGACGTGGCCGCGGAAGGCGCAAAAGGCGGTGACGTTTGGAGTGGCAACGACTTTTTTCTTTACGCGGGCACTCGCTGGCTGCAGCGTGCCGTCGCAGCCGGACGGCGCAGTGCTGGGCATGGCGTGGACCCACCACGCACTGCACGTTGGACCTGTGGATGGCCATGAGCGCAAGCCACTGGCGCCGCTCAGCCTCTCGACGCGGTTCCGCTTATTGCTCGCGCTCGACATTTCGACTGACGAGCTCGCGACCGAGTGGGCGACAACCGACTGCGTTCGCGACGCTCGGGTGGCATCGGCCGCCGATTTCACAGTCGACGCCTGCGACGACATTGTCATGCAGCTCCGGCGTCGCTGGGGCATGCGACGCTACGTGTTGCATGCGGCAAACAGGACGCCTGTGACGTGGAGAACACGCCTCCGCAGGGCCTTTCGGTGGTCCCACGACCTGTAGTCGTCGTCGTCCCATGCCAACGGCTCCTCATGAAGTGTAGCGTTTCGGCTCACTCCCTGGAGCACCTAGTCCCACGACCTGTGGACGTCGTCGACGGGATGTAAAAGCCAAATAGACTCGTGGTTTCAGTAGTGGAAGAACGGGCTAGGAGAAGGTTGCTGCATGCCAATGGTCCATTTTGGAGTGTAGCAACCCTCGAAACCATGTATTGTGGAAAGCATCGACAGTCCAGTTTAGATCTGTGACCGTTTCAGAGCCACCACAGCGCGCCACGTCATACCCGCAGATTCGCAGGATTCGCCTAGCCTTGCAGTGTAGTATGTCGCATCATTTGGAGCGATAGATAGAAATGAGGCACGTTGCGTCGAGGGCTCTGATGCCGACGTCATCACGCCGCGTTGGATCACGGGGTTGCCCGAGACGTCGGCAGGAGCCCCGAGGAAGACCGGTGCAATGCGTGAAAAACACATTTGTGTGCACAGCGGACGCGCGTGAAAAGTGTGTGTATTGTGTATTATGGTGCCCACTCATCTCAGTCGTCCTCGCGCCTTCTCCACTTTAAACGCGACCCGAGAATCCTAGGCGTCTACGTTTCTATACACCCGCCTCTCGCCCGAAGCGCCGTTGGAGTCGGCGCCATGTCGCTTGTCCGTTCCTCTCTGACACAGGCAGTAATTCTGGCGCCAGAACTGACTCTGTCAGATCAATGCACTATTGCCTCGCCCCGTCGTCGCCACCTCGTGGCTTCCATCTGCGAGACTACAGCCAAGTATTTTGGCTATGCGGATTGTGCATGGGATTGCCGTTGGCGCCGACGTTGGAGGCGAGTGTCTGACGCCGTGAATCCAGCAACGTGTGTGCAACGTGTGAAAAGCAAACGGATGTGAAAAACAACGTGGCTTTTTCACCTCGTGACGTGGCCTTGCCACGCATCGCGCCATGTGATTGGCGCATCTTAATGGAATATGCTGATTTTGGCCAATGGCCTTGCGCATCACCAATCCCGTCAACACGCTACTGCATGATTACATGAGATCCGATTAAAACGACGTTCGTTTTCGTTTATTAATTTGAGGTATTCTATTGGCGGTGGTGGAATCTTTATTTCGAAAATGGCGTCTCGTACTTGATGTTTGTATGTACCTTCAAATCTAATTATAAAAAGACACCCCGGCACCGTGTAAAACGATCCGGATATCGCTCTATTTTTTTCGAAAATCGGTGGCCACAAACAAAATAAATCGTCGGTAATTCGGCGATTTGGAAAGAAATGGCCACGACGGAGCTGCCGGCGACGCCGACGACGACGACGACGGAGCCCGAGAAGGACGCGGTCCTGCCGGCCTTCCTCAGCAAGACCTTTGAGATCTTCTCACGCTCCGACTTTAGCCACATCTGCGGCTGGAATTCCGCGGGCGACACGATCATCATCCACGACCCGGACGTGTTTGTCAAGCAGGTGCTGCCCCGCTTCTTTAAGCACCGCAACCTGCCCTCGTTCGTGCGCCAGCTCAACATGTATGGCTTCCATAAGAGCGTGCTCGACTCGAACAAGCGCGAGTTCCGCCACAAGATGTTTCTGCGCGACAAGCCGCAGCTGCTGCACCAGATCAAGCGCAAGGTCAACACGTCGACCGCGCCGACCGCCGCCGCTGTCGTCGACGCCAAGGCGCGCAACGAGTGGAGCGAAGAGATCCTCAGCGAGATGAAGTCGCTCAAGTCGAAGAGCGACCTCATGGAGAAGCGGCTCCGCGACGTCGAGATTGACAATGCGATCGTCCGTAGCGACAACATCAAGCTCTGGAAGCAGCTCGAGACCGCGAAGGAAAAGCAGATGATCATGCAAGAGAAGATGAAGAAGATCTTCTGGGTCCTCTTCCAGATCTACCGTGGCAAAGGCGGCCAAATGGCCAAGCTCGCAACCGACCAGAACGGCGCGATCCTCACCGACGAGTGCGTCCTTTCTTTCTCTCTCTCTCGCGGGAAACTCATGGCTCTCTGCCTAGTTTGGTGGCCAACGCCAGTCGTGCGGCGCCCAAAGAGTTCCTCGACGTGCTCCGGTACCTCGCGATGGACGATGCGCCGTTGCTGCAGGATGCCAGCGCCGCCACCGACAAGCTCCAACTGCCGAAACCAATCGGAAAAAACGCAAGTTTGTCGAAGTGCCGCCGCTTCCTGCGATTGCGGCCGCGACGCCGGTCCTCTCGGACAAGCTCTTTGACATCCCGTCGACGACAGGCCGGGAAGCAACCGCCAACCTGCTCCTGGGCCCGTCCGAGCCCAAGCGCTTGGCGATCGATCGCGGCGTGAAGGCACCCAAGGTGGCCAAGACGACGAACGCTCTTAGCCTCTTCTCGCCGCCGACGGCCTTTCCCAACCTGGAAAAGTCGCACAGCTTCGACATGCGCCTCCCGGACGGCGCTGAGATGAACCCCGACATGCTGCTGGGCCACGGCGACGACCTCATGTTTCACGGCGACATCAACTTTAACGACGCCGATGCCGAGGTACGAGACTCTATACGTACCTGCATATCGCGCACGTGTCCTCATGTTGGACGCATGGCCCAGTCCATGTACCACTACCTGAAGCATGTGCCGATGGCTTCTGTGATCTTCTTGTGTGTGTGTATGTGGCCGAGGCTCATGTGATGCATGCGTGTAGGGCGTGTTCAACCGACTCGATGACATTGAGAAGAACTTGCTCCACGAATACGACGCCACGTCGCTCGACTCGCTTCTCGAGGTAGTACCTCCCTCCTCCTTTCGAAATGGAGGCGCATCCTGGGATTAGGAGTTTTCCTCGGCCGATGCGCCGAAAGACCCCAGCGCCAGCTCGGACCTCGAGCTCTTGCCGTGATGGTATAGGCTGCTGTCGTGCCCATTTTTATTTCCTATCCTAATTATATCAAAAACAACACCTAGCCCTCGTTGTCGCATGCGACAGATTGTCTTTTTTCATTCTACCCTTCGTTGTAGACAACCTGGGTGTACTTGCCTTGGTCCAGATCAAACACGGTCGGCGTTTCAAGAGGCGCGGGAAGGGGAAGCCGTCGACGCCGCGAGCCGTGCAGCACCCACCACGCGACACCAGCAACGAGCAGCAAGCACGCGACCACGACACCCACGATCGCAGCCGTCGAAAAACTACTGTCGGCCATTGAAGCTACGCGCCATCGCAAATCGCAAGGGTTAGTACATCACTAAGTTCTTACTGTGAGGCGCCAGTGGCGATGTCAGTGGTGGAGGTGGCGATGTGAGGGGTGGCGATGTCAGTGGCGGTGGTGTTGATGCGAGTGGCGGCGCCGTCGTCGTCTGTGCGATGGCCTCGCTCTCGAGGGCGGCTGGCATCTGCAATCAAGACAACTCTTGAGAGAGAGAACCAAGCCATCGACGCGGGACCTGATAGGACTGATACACGACATAGTTGGACGAAGCGTCGGACGAGAGCACGTAGACAGCGTACGTTGCATTGGGGGCAAGGCCCGTGACCGATTGAGCGACGCTGAAGGGCGGCGCCGACGGCAAATTCTTAAACGGCAGGTAGGCCACTGTCCCGGTAGAGGACGTGGCCAACGCACACGGTGTCGAATGCGTGCACACCACTAGTACGGCTCGGAGGGCGGAGCGAAGAGGCGTCCCGACGGCGTCAACCGTCCACGTTGCAGTGAGCTACATGGGTCAGAAGAGAGAGCGTGACATGCTTGGATACCATGCACCGTAGTCGGGCTCGGTGCGCACGCAGCAAGAGACGACTCGAGACCACACGAGGGACCTGTTGACGGTTTGGCGATCGTCGCGTGCGGGTAGCAATAGACGACGTCGGCAATGTAGTCGTCGACTAGCGGGTGGTAGGCATCAGTCGGTGTCCATGTACTGAGTAGGGGCTTTCTTACTGCTCGTGGCTGCAGCGGTCGACATGTTCAACACCGTCGGTGGTTTGGACACTGCGACGACAAGGCAAAGCCGGTTACGTGGCAAGCCGGCACGAAGGGACGTCGAAACCAAATTTTGAGATCCAGAAAGTGCAACATCGCTCAAGTGCGCGCGCCTCAACTTCGCTCGATGTGGAGAGCCGTGTGCAAGAGGTTGGTGGTCCGGACATATTGTACATTAAATAAAACAACAACTACTCGACGATAGCCCAGTCGTGGTCCTTGCGCAGCGTTGCGCAGAGCTGACACGGTAGTGCAGTTGCCTTGCAGACACGGTAATGCTTGAGGAGAACTTTGGCTTGGTTGCACGAGCCATGACACTTCCCGAGGCCGATGCCGCATTCTTGGCAGTGCTCAAGCACGCCTTTGGCGGTCGCACAGTTGGGCACGAGGCAGTCGTCTCGAAAGCACCGGCGGGCGTGAAGAAGCAGCGCGAGCCGCGCGGCCAGCTCAGCGGACCGGCGGTCCTGCGAGATGTCGTCGTCGAGGTCGTGGAAGCTGCGTTTGCGATACCGCGGCTGCGGCTCATTGAGCGAGAGCGGCGAGAGCAGCTCGTAGCTTGTCGGGTAGTACAGGCTGCGCAGCAGTGGTGAGTGGTTCGGCTCCGAGTCCGACGGCGAGGTAGGGTACTGCGGAGGGCTGCGCAGGAAGCGTTGCATGCTGTGCGTGGTGGTAGGCGAATCCAGATCTGGTGCCACTCGCGGGGGCACCGAGAACGTCTTCTTCAACAAGACGTGTTAAAGATGCACGAGATCGGCGATGTCTCGACAGTTGTCCCAAGTCTCCTGTTGGATTTCGGCCAATCGGAATGGCGTAATCTGATTTTTGGCCAATCGATGCACTGGATCGCTAAAAAAGACGTGTTTTTGATCAGATTTCTACCAATCACATGCGGAACAGATCAGTTGTTTGCGCCACCGCACCTTCTCCCACACTGCGAATCGACAGAAGCAACACGACATCAAAAGATGCTCTGCCCATTGCATCGCAGTTGGGTTTCGATTCTCAGAAATTGAGGTTCATCCCCACGTGCATGGCAAGATGATCGATCCACCTCTGCCCATCCGATTCAGTAGATGCGGTTTCGGCCATTATCTGGTCCTTTCCGATAGACTAGACGCACGCAACCTCCGCCACCTCATCCGTCGAGTCCACGCCGCACATGAGCGCATGACCCATCTGCCAGTATGCACACCAGGTTGCACTCGTCATCCCACTGCGAGACGATATTGCTTGCCGCTGGTATTGCCGTTCGTGTTTTTGGCCTTGCAAAGTTGCGTTTCATTAGCCAACGGCAACTGCAATGACGATTGGCAGAAAGGCCAACATGGCCTCGATCGCGGGCGTGCTCGGCGATGACTTTGTCTCGGCGTACCTCATGGACTTTCTCTTCGCGACGGACCTCGAGGCGCTTGGCCTCACGTGCAAGTACCTCCAGCGCAAGGTCTCGGCTCTTCTCCGCGTCCGCGTCCGGCGACAGTACCCAGACGTGTTTGGGCGCCAGCCCATCTTTCGCCTGCCTCCCGCGCAATCGACAATCCACCGCCCGAAGCGACGGCTGCGCCATCGCCATCAGCGGTGCTTGTACTCGTTCTTCCAGCACTCGCAGAACCCCATCTTCCATGGTCTGCTTGGCCGGCTCAGTGGCACTGGCCATCTCTTCCACGCGGACCGCGGTGGGTGGGTCTTCAACCCTGAGACCGAGACGTTTGAAATCGACTGGGTCGACTCGACATCGAGCCTTGGCGACGCCTACGACAGCGACGACTCGGTGGACGTGCCTCGGCGGTATGCCACCTTGGACGACAACGACGACGACGACAACGATCCTGATGCAATGGATCGCGATGGGCCTTCCAGCATGACGTCGCAGCGGCTCGCCGAGCTTGCGGAAGCATCTATCGGCAACGACTGGCAGCCTCTCGCCGACGCCTTGGCCGTGCACGCGGTCTTCAAGCAGCTCTGCGCGGACTTGGAGGCCAACCTCGACGACGACGCCCTCGTGGTCCAAGGCGCGTTTCCAATTTTGCTCCGCGCGCCGTCGCTACTGCACACCCCATGGTCGGCGAGCGCTTTGCATCGTCTGGTGCTGCCGTACCGTCCGCTGTCGCCAGCAGCCACGAGTCCGTTTGGCCTGGCGCTGCATCCGACCGACTGCATCTTTAGCCACTGCGCGTGCATCGACTGGGACCTCATTGACGACGACGAGGTATGCCACGCGTGCGCGCAGCAAGACGCCGACGTGTGGCCGCCGCGGGAAGTCATGTACCGCTGGCTCTTACCAGGCGAAGAAGAGCCGCTCGACACATCGAGTGCCGGGCCGCATTGGCGCCTTGGCATCGCGTGCGCCGGGCTCTTTGGCGACGATGTGCACTGGAATACGTACAAACCGATCGGCGACGGCAACTTTGTATGCAACTATTGCATCGACCAAGGCCTCGTGCGAGACCCCCGCGAGTACAACATGTGCCGCCAGTTTGTGCGGCCGCTCAAAGCCGCCATGCGCGCGCACCTCGACAGCGTCCGCATGGAGACGTACATTGACAACTCGAGCGTGCATGTGTTTGGTGGCGTGCATGCCAGCGGCTTCTTTCTCGGCGTTGTCTGCTACGAAGTGGATCGTGAGCTCCTCGGCCGTGTTGGTATCTACTAACCTTCAAGACGGCATTATTTTGGCACTAGAGCGTTGCTGCACGTTGGCATCAGAGGGCATGATGGGCTCGAGCGCAGGTGGGAGATGATCTGTGGTACGAAGCGTGTCCTTGGTTGTTGCTTCTGCTGCATCGCCAAGGGCTTTCATGCCATTGGTATCGCGCCGGAACTTTGTGGCGACGAGCGTCGGCGTTAGTGTGGTATGGCAGTCCATGCCATCTCGATCCTCGAGAACTCACTGGAGAAACGTCGTTCACTTGTGTCGCAGCAAATCGTTCTCGAATTATTGCCAGTCGGTGACTCTCCGAGGCCTTCCTCTTACGAGCCCAAGGACACGCTCTAGCGCCATCGTGATCAAGCACGTCAAGCAGGTCGTTGTTGTTGAACAACCAAGATGTGGTGTTGGCGCTGGCGTGCCGAGCGGGCGCTAGTCCTGACGTGGCACGCTCTGACGCAATGGCGGGTTGGTTGGTTTCATCCCAAGCGACGCGGTCTATAGATAGCCAACGGTCGCTGCCTTTCGCCTTCTCGTGAGCTGCTCACTCGTAGATCCAACCGCCTACCAGCCATGGAGTTGAGCGCCGAGGCTTCCACCGAGATTGTCTACAAGATCATCATGATCGGATCCGGCGCTGTCGGCAAGACCAACCTCATTGGCGTTGGTGCGCGCGGCTCCCAGTTCAGCGTCATGAGTCCCGTGACGTTGAACCCCGAGTTTGCCACCGGTGCGTTCTTGTGTCGTCCCGACAACTTCTGTAGCCTCTTGTTGTCTAGTCAAGGTCAAGCGACCCGACTGGAAGCCTGGCCAGGCCAACCAGTACATCACAGCGCACCTCTGGGACACGGCCGGTCAAGAGCGGTACCAAGCCCTCTCGGCGTCCCACTACCGCCGCGTCAACGGTCTACCTTGCATGGGCGCGGTGCAGGTTTTCATGCCCAGTGGTGTAGGCGCCATTATGGTCTACGACGTGACCAACAAACAGTCGTTCCGAGAGGTCTCCCCTGGTGTCTCCCACGCGACACTGTGCTGGCTACGGACCCTCAAGCAGCATGCCGATCCGGACCTTCTGGGCGCGGTCATGCTCATGGAGACAAATCGGACTTGCTCAAGAAAGGCGAGCCGCGCCCGCCTTCGTACGTGCAAGAAGCCGACGTCGACAAGCTCCTGCTCGACGTGGTACCGACTGGAAAATGATTCAAGATGGAGTACAATTGCGTGCGGTAGGTCTACAAGGACCCTCCAACAGGCCTCGGCTGGCTCCACGAGGCGCCGCCTGCCGACGTGCATGCTTACCGTGTCGCCAACGCCCTCATGTTTGCGCGATCGTCGGCCATGACCAACGACTGCGAGCTCTTTGAGCTCAATGAACGCAAAGGTAAGCATTCCACTGTCTACGAACTACAGGACGATAATGAGCACGACTTAGCGGCCACGGTCCATGAGATGTTTCAACAGCAAAGCGATGCGATTGGCTACGAAAAGACGGACCACGTCACGAGCGTCACGCACGCCATCGAAGCGCTTGTGTTGCGCATCTACGAACGCTCCAAAGACATGGATGCGACCGGCTCCAAGGTGAAAGGCCGGCCGTTCAAGATCGTGCCCAAACCCAAGCACGAGGAAGCGACGGAAGCGTGCTGCTAATACGAAATAAACTGGGTAGCCAGCCTTCGCGCAGCAGAAACATCGCCACGGTCGCGCCACAAACAACCCAACCCTCATGAACTCGAAGGAGATCGAACCGAGACCAGCACGATAGTTCCTACTATCCGTTGAGGGGTGAAATCCAGGTGTTGCGAGTGGTCGGATCATCGAAGCAGGACTGGGATCGATCCCCAACCGACCATGCCTTTTTCTGGTGAAGGACACACCATGCGTACTTGTTTAACACGCTGAAGGACTAGAATGGAGCTCCTAGTTGCGTGTCCACGGCCAGTTGATCCACGTCGGCGGCGTCGTCGCGCGCGTCGGTGCAGCAAACTGCTGCATGCCGTCAGCACACGAGCGCTCCCACGCTAGGAAATCGCGCACTTCGTCTGGCATGGCCGGCGGCGTAAAGGCGCGTGACTAAACATATATCCATGAAGAGACAACATGTCCATCAACGACCCAACCTCGTCTTTGGTCACGGTGCGATACATGGTCGCGGGCGACACGGGTGCCTTGCCGAGGCGGATCATGATCCGCACAATCGACTGCGCGTAGAGGGTACCCGTCGCGGGGCATACGAAGCGGTGCTGCAAGTAGAGCCAGTCAGCGTCCCAGTAGATAATCGTCGAGTGAATGTGGAAGGGGCGCAGCGGCGGAATCGGGTGCCGGTAGCGAATGGCCTGCGCGACGACGAGGAAGAGCCAGCGCTGCCGAAGGATCTCCACGAGGATACCCGACGCGCTAAAAGACTGTGTAGAGGCGCGAATGTTATGTAGTAGCATAATACCCGACGGCGAACCACGTGGCCGACTCCATTTGCGTCAAGTACGACGCGTTGTTGAGGTGCACGTTGAGGTCCGTGTCCATGGCGCCAATGCGCGTCTTCCAGATCGACGGCCGGTCGATGAGGAGCAGGCCTGGCGTGGGCGGCGAGAAGCGTCGCCGTAGCAGACCCGCGCCCATGTTCCACAGGATGCGCGGGATTGTCATGCGCGTGTGGGTGGTCAGAAGATCGCAAATCACAAACTGCGTTTGCATCAGCATTTGATTGTGTTTTAAACGTAGTGTTTTAAACTGTATAACACTGTATCAAGGATTCATGCCGGATACGCGAGCGATGTAACCGGATGCGTGTCACCTCCACGACCTCATGAGTGCATTGCAATCCTGTCGTCGCGAGAAGGGCTTTCAAGCGACGAGACCCCGCTGCTCGCACTACCGTGCATGCGACGTCACGCCCAGCAGAGCCAACTTTGGTACCTCACGCTGTATCGATGAGGTTGAAGCGTCTATCTCGACGGAGCCGGTCGACTACAGCTCACTTGGGCTGGATCAGGATCGGTGCAGAAAGCAGTGGCGTCCGAAATGGATCTCAAGAGTGCTCTTAACAAAGGGGCATGGAGTATATTGTCGTCGTCGGTGGTGGCCTTGTCACGCGCCTTTCGTATCTCGCTGTTGCCATATCGCACGGGCATGCATGCAGACGACGCACATTGCAAGACGAGGGATATCAAATGCGTGTCGTCGTTAGTACTGAATGTGCACTTAGAGCTTCTCCCACGGCAAGTTGAACGAGCTCGTGAGCGGAAGGCGCGGCGTCGGTTCGAGCGAATACTCCTTCATGCTCACGGCCGACGACGCGTCCCACGCAAGGTAATCGCGGATGACATCGGGCATCTCGGGCTGCACGTACTGCTTCTCGCCCGTCTACGCGCAGGTTTCCATCCATATCGACGTGTATCATGTGGATGCACGTACCTTGGTCTGGTACACGACATCAAACATGTTGGTCGGGTGGACCGTGTCGCGGCCATGGCGGAGCGTGATGCGGCTCAGGCCCTCGGCGTAGAGCTTGCCCGTGCCGGGGCACACAAAGCGCGCCTGCAGGTACACCCACGTGTCGTCCCAGTAGATGGTCTGCGTGTGGACTTCAATCGGGCGCAGCGGCGGGATCTGGTGGCGGTACCGGATGGCCTGGGACCCAATGAGGAAGTACCAGCGCTTGGCGAGCACGCGATCGAGAATGCCCGTGTGTCTAGACGCCACGTCAGATTGCACTTTCTAGACTTGAGAAAGATCTGGTACGTACGCGACAGCATACCAGATCGCGAGCTCCATTTGCGTCAAGTACGACGCGTTGTTGAGATGCACGTTGAGATCCGTGTCGATGAAGCCAATGCGCGTCTTCCAGATCGACGGCCGGTCCATGAGGCAGCCGGGCGCGGGCTTGTTGACGCGGCGCCGGACGACGCCCGAGAGCATGTTCCACATGACGCGGGGAATGGTCATCGTTGCAATAAGATCTGCGCAAAAGCCGGCAAAAGTAAAAGTCCCATCGCGCTTCCACGGATGGCAGAGCCAACTGCAAGTGCCACCGCCCCAAGTGCATGGATGACGCCAGTGCATCAGCGGCGTACGCGCGTCTCATTGGCTGCGCCCGCGCCCGTGGCCATACCAGCGTCGGGATCTGCGACGTTGAGTAGACAGGCGGCGTATACGTCATTCGTTGGCCCCGCGATTACGGAAGCCAATCGCGACTACGTCATCCAATCAGCGGCGTGACGAAGCACATGGTGCCGCTCCATGCCTCTGCGCCCCAATCCATCGATGGACGCGTGGCACGTCGTGGCGACAGAAGAGACGACCTCGCATCTGGGCATGCAAAATGCCAAGTTGGATCTTGCGTTTTAATGTATGGACGACGCTTTTATATTTTGTTAAAGACAGAAAAGGCGCGGCAGAGTAGGTCACGCGTCCCACGGCCGCGGCGATGCAACAACGCCCCGTGCAACGAAGAGGCGACACCCTTCCGATACTCTGAGAAACACTTGGACGGGCGGTACTACGCCTGTGAGAAGACTGCCGTTGATGTCGGCAGCGGCGCACGACAGAGACCACTTTTGAAGATTATTGGGCCCGTTGTTTGTGCGTTTGCTTGCGTTTTTGCGTTTGCTTGTGTGTTTTGTGTGTGTGTGTTTGCTTGTGGCCGGGCAACGTCGGAACGTCCATTCTTGGACGGGTACAAATAGGTGACCAGAGCCACGACGGCGCAATGGGTGCCGTGGGATCTGTGGCCTTTCGCAACACAACCGTCGCGTTCATTCGTCGTGCATCGAGCCGCGCCTTGGTGGCGGCAAGGACTTGATGTTATTCCCTGGGCTCCTGACGGTTGCACAACTTGAATAGCACATCGATGACAAGAATCGCATGAAACGGTATGTGTGGAATGCGATCACAGAGCCAAGGACACGGACGGCCACTGGCCACGTTGCGTCGCACGGCGCGTTTGCCTCCAGCGCTTAATACCGTCATGAGGTCTGCCCCGGTAGATTCGTGCATTGGCGAATAGGGTTGTAGCCAAGGGCTGGTGCAAGTCTGGCCCTTCTAATCGAGGTGCTGAATCCAGTTTGAACAAAACAGGTCCCGTGCGGCTGCCCGAACAGGGTGAGCTAGCAAGAATGCGAAGCGGTATTTGCGACGACGACCAGAAAATACGACCCTGGGTCCTAGGGTCGTATTTTCTGGCCTATCAGGGCCTGGGAGACTGGTAGTTGTTGAAGTGGGTCGTCTATTACAATCGATAAAACTATGCTATGGGAGGCTGGTAGTACCGGTGCCAGATATTCCCACTGAACGTTCATAACGTTACCAGAAATACACATGTACCGGGAAACAGGTCCCGTGCGGGGTGAGCTGGTACGAACTTTTGAATACATATGTGCACGTGTTTCGCGGGATCTTCTACCGGTACCAGAAAAACCGGGAATATAACGCATTTGACCGTGGCCTGTCCGGGCTTTGGCCACACAACGTACCGGTACGTGGAGAACGAAATTCAGCTCCTGGCAATTTGTATTTGTAGCAATGTCAGAAATTTGGTACGAGTAATATCCCGCAGTAAAGCGTTTACTCGTACTAATCTTTCGCCTTTTACTAAAGATTACCGTGGACGTTTTTCAAACAATGCGGCTTCACTAATTTCTGACCTCCCTCTGGGAGGCCCCCCATGCCAACAACCTCTCCAAATTGTCAAACCACACCACTCGAATTTTCTTCATCCCCTTGTCAATTAAGTCGCCGCTGGACCTATCCAGCGTATCTCGTGAGCTCTCGAGATGACACTTTGCCAAGTCGCCAAAGTCTGCAGCTGGAACAAAAGGGTCGGCAGCAAAACATGGAATGGATTACATGATAATTTTTACATGACCCATGGCGATGCATTGACCCCGGTGTAGACGACCGGCGGCTCCGCGTCCAGATCCACATACCCCACGGCCGCTTTCTTGGTCATTTTCGATTCGTTGGAGAGGTGGCGCCTATCGATGGTGCTCGTCACAAGGCTCACGCGCACGCAGTGGGTCGTCTTGGGCTCCGTGCGGTACACGATGAAGCAGTCGGTGCCGGTTTGGCTCAAGCCAACCACTGCCTTGGTCTCGGGGCAAATGGCAAAGAGGCGGTGGACGCTGCCGCCGGCTTCCAGCACGTTTCTGTGGGGCCAGAGACAGAGCGAGAGACCCCATTTGTGCTTGACATCGTGCGCATGAATGAGATATTTCGCACTGTCACTCGACTGCACCCGCCGTCGCGAACGCCAGCGAGCCACTGCAAAGCCGTACGTGAGCGGGAGGCAGCCCATGACGATCGTATAGAGCAGTGCCGAGACACCCATCTCGATCGACGTTGCATCGCGGACCGTCGCCGTGCAGAGGTAGTGGTAGACGTGAATGAGGGTGCGCAGCTGCGACTGCAAGTAGCTGAGGGGGCCGGCGACCGCGACCGCCACGAAGGCCAGTAGCGTCGGATCCACGTCTGCACAGAGACGCTCTTTTCCCAGCCGCTTGAGCAGCGACGACGAGACACGAAGGGCAGTAACGAAAACCACACGGTCCGCGAGAGGTACAGCGACGCGATGAGAAAGTTCGGAACGTCGGCGACTTGCATCACCCGAAGGATCGCCCGCATGACGTAGTCAGGACTCATCCAAAAGTCGAGCAAGAAGCCGGCGAGGACGACTGGGTGTTGTAAAATGTGGCTCGTGGGATCACCGACGAGAAGGTAGAGGACCTTGGCTTGGCCACCCTCGGCATGGCCGATGCCGTAGCGTCGAAGGGTGGTGGCGAGGGCAAAGCAGTGGCGGTAGTAGTCGTGCCACATGCGTCGCACGAGATACAAGACGAGGACGCAGCGCGCCACCAGCTTGACGACGACCCACGCCATCGACGACGGCGCTCGGTGAATGCCAACGTAATACTCGATAGCCGACGTGTCGTTGTTTCGATGTTGAGTCCACAGCACATGGTGAAAAATGGGAACGTCGAGGAGCCGCGAAGTGGCTGCTAGCGGCGCCGGTGCTGACGCGTTCGATACAAATTGCGAGGCAAAGTTCGTTTGGTCGTACGTGTAGATGACATAGTATGGGAGGTCGGCGGCGACGAGAGGGTGATTGGAGGATGGTCGCGGCAACGATTCGTGGTAGAGATCAAACGCGGTGCTCGCGAAGAAGGACGTGTTGGTCACCTCATGGGTTTGGTTGCGGAAAAACGCCAGCAACGCCGAGGTACACACCGTCATGTTGCGCTCTGTACACGCCGGTGGCAGCGATGTGGTCGTGCTCGACAAGTACGGCAAGGGCTCGGAGATGTAGGCCTTGAGCGGCCTAGACATAACGTCATCGAGGTTCGAGTCAAAGAGGGACAATGTGTACATGATAGCCACGTTGAGAAACATGATGCTGCTCAAGACGACCGATCGCTTGTTCCAGTGCACAGTCGTACAGGGCGGCGCCACGGGGGCGGGCACGACGGCCCCACGCTGCATCTCTGTGAGGCAATGAAAAATTGCCCGAGAAGCCTCTGCAACGCGCCTGCATAGGTAACCGCTTGCTAATAAAAGCGCGGGAGCTGCCATAAAGCTCGGACGATGATGGCATCTCGGTGTTGAAGTGAGTCGTCCATTAAAAATAGGCCAAGTGCCATTCAATTGGGAATGTCTCTTTTTATGGCACCGGGAATCGGAAACGCCATGATTGACTGCCTGACGACGACCTCATAGACCATGACCGAGCCACACCCTTACGAAGCGGCCATCGCGCTGGTCCAAGTGCCGGGCGCGTTCGCCTCGATGGGCGTCTTGCCGCAGTCGCCGCCATTCCTCATCTACCTCGATGGCATGGACGAGCCCCTGGCATGGCCGCTCACCGCCGCCCAAGCTGCCGCGATTCTCATGCTGTACCCGTCCGGGAGCATTGACGCGTCGAAGAATCGGATGGACCTCGACGACGGCTATAACGCGCTGCTCAACACGATGTAAGCCGACGTTGCGGAGCATTTGGCGCCATCAGGCGAGATTGTCATCATGCTCTCGCACATGGTCATCGACGACAATGCCATGTTGCAGCTGCGTCCGACCAACGACGAGGCTATAGACACCACGCTCACGTTTGGCTCGATGAGCGTGCTCCTTCCGTCCATCCACAAAGGCGGCGTCCTCACATACGCCTACGGCAACGACATAGCGACGTTTGACGTCGAGACGTCGGTGGTTCGAGACAGCGTTTGCATCGACCTTTCTGGGAACGTCGATCTCGTCGGCGCCGATCACAGCTGGTCGCCGCGTCACCCTCATCTACCACATAATCTATGAGGTAGAGTGCGCCTGGCGCCGCCTAACCAAGAACCGGCCATCGCAGCGCTCACGGCGCTCGCCCAATCGCCGTTTGATCGGGTGCAGCGCATTGGCCGCCCCGTCGCGTGCTCTGAAGAGCGCTATGCTTCTTGCTTGGACCTTCTCAAGCCCATCGACAAGGGCCTCGTCCACATACTGCTCGCGACCAAGTGCTTTGACGCTGCAGTGGCGTCGATCTACTCGAAGGATCGCATCGAGTATGCCACGCTGTACCCGGCCTGCAACGCGCCAGACGAAGTCGCGCCTGATCGCCTCTCGCTCGACCTTGTCTTGCCGGCGCCCGACGAGCCGGACGAATGGCCAGAGAACATGCTGGTCTTTTGGCCCAAGCACCACCGCGTCACAATGGCCGACCGGACCAAAGCGCTGACGTACTTGGCCACGGTGCTGCTTGAAGATGCGCCGTGCGTTGTCCATCACGGCAACAAAGACGGCGGAGAAGACGTAGCCGCGCCGGTGCAGGAGGGCTTTCTGGGCATCACAGACGTCGACGTCGTCTTGCGATCCACACTGATGGCCTTCGCCGCCCACCGCGGACGTGAGCAAAACATGTACACCAGCGAGCCACACCCACGACGCATTCGAACGCCACTGGGTACCCTGTCCCGGCTCTTGGCGCACCAAAACGACCTGGAGCTCACGTTCCGCTTCATCGCCGACATTGTCTCGGTCCAAGACGACGTGCCGGCGTCGGAAGTGGCGCTGTGGCTGCATGGGCTCCTCACAACACATGGATGGGGTCCATTCCAGCCGGCCCTGGTCCAGCTCCTCACGCGCTGGTCCAACGAGAACGCGGATGACGCACTGCATCTTTTCGCGAGCTTTCTGGGCCTCGCCGATGAGCCTTTGCGTCCTCCACTGCGCCTACAGCACGAGGCCGAGCTCCTCAAGCGGTGTTGGCCAGCGCTCTATGGCGGAGTGATCGCATGGATACGCGCGCGGCACGAAGGATCGGCGTTCTACACGCACTGTCTTCTACTCGAAGCCTACGTCACCAAGACAGCGCCGCAGCTTCCCGAGGCCAACAACGTGGGCCACCGCTTGCCGCCACCACTCGTCTCGATGGTCGATGCGTTTGCGCTGCCACCGCTTTCGGCGTGGACACCGTGGCTCCTCTCGGGCCACCCGAGCGCCTCGGACATTGCCGTCAGCGTCGCGTTGGCCCTTCAGCGCAATCCGTGCGTGCCGACCGGCGCCTTGATCGAGTATGTGCTGCGCGCCTACGGCAAATCGTTCAAGAGCGAAGACGGCTACTACGCCTTGGCGGCGGGCCTCAACGCGGCGGGTTCTATCCTCTTCCTCGCCCTCCGCGAGAACCGACTCGACGACGATCTCTTTCGACACGTGACGCAGTGCTGGACCGTCGGCCTCCTCCCGGTCGCGCGCGCGATCGTCGCCAAGCACCCCGCGTTGATCTCGCCCTCGTTTGCATCGCGCATGGCAGCGTATATCCTGACGCTGGCTCCATTGCTGGCCGAGAAGGAGGTGTGCTATGACGGCCGCGGCGGCAAACTGTACGCGCCCGCGACCTTGTCCCAGCACGAGCTCGTGCGCGATGCGATCGAGCTCCTCCGGTTGTTTGCACCGACGCAGCTGCCAACGCTGGTCGATGCGTGGTTGGAAGACTTGCCGACCTCATTGGAGGTGACGGACGCGGTGCTCTTGCCACTGGCTGCCCTCGTGCTGGAGGCGGATGCGCCGCTGTGTCGCAAGCTTCTACAAGTGGCGGCGACCCGGCCACCTATTGTCGACGACACACTCTACCATTGTGGCTCGGACGACGAATGGCCCGTCGACCCTCCGTCACGAGCCGAGAAGATGCGCTACGCCAAAGACCGTCTAAGTACCCGGATCACCAGCACGATCGCCGACTTGACGTCGCAGCTCGCGACAAAAACCAAGTTGACGCGCCAGCGCCAAAGCGCCAGCGTTGTTAGCTCCCGTGCTTCACATGGCTCGAAGGTTGAGACGCAGGTGTTATCGTCGCGTCCCATAATGCACGTACATGGTCGTGGATGCTCGTGATGGTCTCCACCCTGCAAGGTCGCGCCGTCGCGTGGGCCCATGTTGGGTAATCATCTTCTACCTTATGCAAATGAATGTCTCTCGTCCTGTCTACACCTCGTCACTCATTTATCATTTGAAACAGTTACTCGCATAGCAAGACCCTTGGTTCTACCTGTTCCTACAATGCCTGGACCGCTTGTTGGCGCTTGGTCGGTCGCTCGTTGACGGCGCCGAGGAGTGCTTGCACCTGTCGATGGTCGTCGTCCAAAACGTGCGGCAGTGCGTTTAGCGTGGCAGTCGCCAGCGCCACAAAGACATCCTCCTCACAGTCGGGCAACGCGCTCCAAAAGCGAATCGTGACCTCAAACAACACGGCTCGAACGTGCTCTTGGCGTCGGACGACGTCGACGAGCCACGCGTCGACAAACGTCCGCAGATTCCCGACATCAAAGGCTGCGAAGTACGCAAACGCATCAAGCGCCAGACCAACGCCGACCGAGACGCCGCCGAGGCTTTGGCCGTCGGGCCCATTGGCATAGTAGTCGTGCACAGGGTCGTGGCTCGTCGTCGGCATCTCAGTCACGACATCCACACCAGACGTGACCACAGCCAGCAAGAGGCGACTGCACTGCGCAATGAAATCGGGTGTGCCAAGCGTTGGCCAGTCCCGCAAGACCAAGAGCACCGCGGGCGCCACGCGGAGATGCAGGCGGCCAACCATGAGCCCGGCGACCTCGAGCGAGCGGTCGCCGACGACACCGACGACCAGCAGCGCCGCGAGGACGTCCACAGACAGCCAACACATGTCATGGCTCGTGTCGTGTCGGTTGTAAGCATCCAAGACGGCGGGGACCCACGGCGCGGCGAGTGCGTCATGGCCTTGTTGGTACCCCATGGCCACGGCCGGAGCCAGCGCCCGCACTTTCGAGTACTCAGCGCGCTCGAGCACGTGACAAAAGGTTGTGGGCGGTCCCCGCATCGCTGCGATCGAGAGGACAATGTCGTTGGGCAAGTGGCCATAAAACCACCGGTGCGTCACGGGCAGCCGCGCCAAGTGCGCGTCCAGCGCAAAGCTCATCTCCAAAATGTCGCGCGGGATCGCGTCGAAGACGAGCATCGAGTTGTCTTCGGCGCCGATGGCGGCCGCGCCTTCCGTCAACAGCGTGTACGCCTCGACAATCCACTCCGAGACACCTGGCGCCTTGACTTTAGCGCAGATGGGGCGGGTCGTGACGCCGGCGATGCTGGCCACGAGGCGGCAGCCATTGGCAATGTGTGCGTAGCGGCTTGCGCGCACCCAGCGCTGGAGAAGCTGAGAGAGGATCGGCTCCAGGTTCGACCAGCCAAAAACGGCAATGTCCCGCGAGATGAGCTGGCCAACGGCTTCAAGAAAGGCCGCATCACCGTTGATGGGGGCTTGGAAGAGCTGGGTCAAGAATCGCTCGATCCAGTCGAGACGGTGCGCGTCACCGAGTGCCGCGTAGACGGCGACAATGTCGTCGCTACGGCAGTTGAACGCTCGGCTCTCGGGATGCAGGCGCGTCACGACGGCCTCAAAAAGTGCGTCGACCGACGGCTGGCCAAAGAGGTCAATGGTCTCGTCGGAGGCGGCTGCAAGCGAGCGTGCAATCGCAGAGAGGTGTGCGATCTGCGCGCGATGATACTTGGGCCAAAAGACAAAGCCGTACGTGGGCTTGGAGCCGTTTCCAAACAGGCGGGCATCGATCTTGCAGTAGCGAGGGTGGTGGGTCACCGCGTCGCACAGGGTCGCGCCGTCCGGGAGCGTCCACTCGGCGACGCGCGGGAGGTCCGCTTCTTTCGCCCACTGCAGCCGAACGAGGAGTACGTCGTACGCCTGGGTGGCCAGCAGCGCGGCAAGCATCGCCTTGTCGTGCGGATGGAGGTCGCCGGACTGGGTCGTGATCGTCTTGCACAGGACGTGGACCTGCGGCGATGGGCGAGTAGCGAGTGCGAGGAGCGCTGCGACGGCAGCTGCATTCTCATCGCCGTTCTCGTCGTCCAACACGAGGTGGTAGACAAGCCATGGCCGGCGCGTCGAGAGACCGGCTGTCGCGCCGCAGAGCCAGACAGAGCAGCGCGCAGGTGTCTTGGCCGGCACGACGGGCAACTCGACGCAGAGAAAGCCAAACGTTCCTGGCGGGCGATTCATGGGCGCCCACGGCTGTTGCGGGCCAGACAGGCTCGCTGCGTAGTACGCGAGTTGCAGCGAGAACGACCCGGACGGGGCAAACATCGTCTGGATCGTCTTGCGCACGTGGCCTTGGAGCGCGTCGATCCAGGCTCGGTTGCCAATGGATACATGGTCACCTGGCACCTGCTTCGCGCAGGCGTGGCGTTCGCTGCCGCCGTTGCATGCGACGTCGTCGCTCTCGGCCGGAAGCACCAGCATCGGATCGACCGGCGCAGAGAGGTAGAAGCTGTGGCGCGGTCGGTCCAGCGTGCGAGGCTTGACGAGCGCGAGCGCGGCCTCGAAGCGCTGGACGTCGGTGAGCTCTGCGTCGGGCGACCTCTTCATCGCACGGGTCCGGACCATCGCCAACGTTGGGATCTGACCACGACGCACTCCAGATAAGATATTCGGATACCGAACGGGAGCATCCGGTTAATTTCAGACAACTATCCGGATCGCCAACGGTAAGAACCATCGAATGCTTGGTCCTAGCTTGGTTGCGCCACTGCTTGGCAGCTTGCAAGACCCAAGACGCGTAGGAACCCAGAAACGTCGGCGCAACTGTAACAAACACTGTGCGCTTCATTGTCCGCTCCTTGGAGATGCAAGGATGTTGACGCAAGCGCTCTCACTCGGACCAAGCATGTACACATGATTTGTTTTCCCCACTACTTAAAGCATGCTTAGTACTACAACATCAGCACAATGCTAGGTTTCCGCGTGCAGTGGAAGAGGTTTCTTGTGCGAGCTCATTTTGCCCATACTCGATAGTCAGACTGCCACGTCATGGGTTGGCGCACGGTTACGTTGCCACGTCACCAATAAGCTGGTCGAGAGGTGAGAGCGAGCTTCCCACCGAATCCCACAAAATGAACGGAAGCAGAAGGGCTGCCTAGGAAGCCACGATACACAAAAGGACCCTCCCCCCGAATTTCCGTTGGTGTCGTTGATACCTGGCTCGGTTTCTCCCTCTCTCGCGCTGTGTCTTTCCTCTTTATTAAATATATTAAATAAAAACTCAACATCGGTGAGCTGTCGAGGTCGTACTCCCTGAGCATCGGCACGGTATGTGTACGAACTACATTGTACAGTTAAAATACAACAGTGAACCGACTTTTGGAATGAGACCCCTCTACAGTCCCATCCCAACGGTCTTCCCGTTGGACGATCGAGAACGATGCATCACAACGCCTTGTCCCCGGCCCAGCGACGCTACTGTCTCGAACCTGCATTCCACTACATTCTGCGATGGCAACGAGCTTGTACACCGCCGCGATGGCCTTGGTCCAAGAGCCCTGCGAGTTCGCCCGCACAGGCACACTGCCGCCGTCGCCACCGCTCCTCGTCTACCTCGATGGCATGGACGAGCCGCTGGACTGGCCGCTCGGTGCCGCCCAAGCCACGCAGGTGCAGGCGCTCTACCCCTCGTGCATCGTCCCCGCGACCAACCTCCGGCTCCAGAACGGCCATGACGCGATGCTTATGACCATCAAGATGAGCATCACGGAGCACCTGGGGCCGTCGGGCGCGTTCGATGTCACGCTCTCGCACTTGGTCGTTGACAACGTCGGTCGAGCTGCAACTCTACGTCCGACGCAAGGCAAGACAGCTAATGGCATGTTTGGCTCGCTCATCGTGCTCCTCCCGTCCATCTACGAAGGTGGCAGCATCACGTTGGCGCATGGCGGCCAGTCCGCGACCTTGGATGCGGCGATGACCTACGCGTCGTTCTACTCGGTGACGTCCATCTCGTCGGCGCCGATCACGGCCGGTCGCCGCGTCGCGCTCGTCTACCGTTTGGTCTATGAAAAGCAGCACAACAAGATGCGCCGGGCGCCGGTCAACCAAGCGGCGGCCATCGCCGCGTTCACAGCGCTCGCGGGCTCGCCGTTCGATGGGTACGAGCTCTTTACTTGGCCCATTGCATACTCGCACGAGGAAAATGACCTCCTCTGCTTTGATCGTCTGCAGCCTTTCTACAAGGGCCTCGTCTACGTGCTATTGGCGACCAAGTGCTTTGAGGTTGCACTGGTCACGCGCTACGAGGACACTGGCCTGTCGGCGGTCGTCCTGCACCGTGCGTGTGAGGTGCCCGAAGAAGTGACGGGTGCATGCGAACGCTACGCGCGCGAGGCTCTCTGCGTCGAGCTCTGCGGTGGTGACCCGCCGTCGTCGCACATGCTGGTTTTTTGGCCGACGCACCACCGCGTCTATATGGTCGACCGGGCGAAGGCGCTGGCGTACTTGGCCACGACGCTGCTCGGTGACGCACCATCTCTGAAGAGCGGCTACCTCGGCGTGGCCAGCATCGACGATGTCTTGCACGCGACGATGGCGACCTTCCGCAGTGGCTCAGGTTGCGAGTGCAGTGGAGGCCGCCGACTTGAACGTACTGGAACGCCACTGGCAACCCTCTCTCGTCTTTTGGCCCAACAGCCGGATCTGGAGCTCACGCTGCGGTTCGTCGCCGACATGGTCTCGGTTCAAAACGATGTCCGACTGCCGGAGGTGGCGCTGTGGCTGCATGGACTCCTCACGACACACGGATGGGGCCATTTCCAGTCGGCCTTGCTGAAGCTCCTCGACCGCTGGGCTACGAGCTGTGTGGCCGACGTCCTGCACTTTCTGGCGAGCTTGGCCGGCCTCGCCGATGAGCCTTTGTGTCCGTCACTGCACCAAAAGCACGACGCCGAGCTCCTCAAGCGGTGCTGGGTGTCGCTACATGCCACCGGCGCCGTGCCACAAGTGCACCGACGTGCTGCGAGTGTGACGCACTACCTTCTCCTCGACGCCTATCTCACCAAGACGGCGCCGGGCCTCGCGCACGCCAACTACATGGGCCACCGGATGCCACCCGCGCTCGTCTCGGTCGTCGATGGCTTTCTCCTGCCGACAGTCGTGCGATGGATCGGATCTGGCCGCCACTGTAACACGTGCGCGGTGGCTGTCGGCGTCGCGGCCGCCATCCAGCAGGACCTGACGATCGCGTGTCACCCGCTGGTCGCACAGCTACTCGATGCGTTCCGCAATCGCCAGATGCACTTTCCCATCGTCCGTCGCTCGGACGTGGTGGGCTGGAACGCGGCACAGAGCATCCTCTTGCTCGCTCTTCATGCCAAGCGGCTCGACGACGTCCTCTTCAACAACGTCGCCGATGTATGGGGCCTCGCTGTGCTCCCGGCCGCGCGCTTGATGGCGATCAAGCACAAGGATATCGTCGGAGACGGCTTTGCGTCGCGGGTGGTGACGTTTGTTTTCAAGGTCGTCAACGAACTCGCTCTAGAGCCGACGCACCATTCAGGCTGCGGACGCTACGTCGACATGCCCAAGCCGGAAGCAGCGCTCGTGCTCGATGCGATTGCGCTTCTTCGGTTGTTTGCGCCCGACCAGCTACCCGTGTTTGTCGACCTTTGGCTGCAACGCTTGCCCGAGACAGTGGACGTCACCGACGCGATGGTGCTGCCATTGACCCGACTCGTCGTTGATGACGCGCCGCTGTGTCGCAAGCTGCTAAACGCAGCGGCGGCGCGCCCGGGCAGCTCTTCCGAGAGCGAGCCTGGAGACGGATTGCATCCTCGGACGTCGACCGAGGAGTTGCGTCAAGCCAAAGAGGACGTCGTCGACAAGATCGCTGCAGCCATCGCCGACGTGAAGGCGCAGCAGGCGAGCCATCACGACGACGCATCGAGTGCGCCACCACCAAAGCGACGTCGTCACTTGTAAGTAGTCTGGTAGTTCGTTGATCATGGGATAGTCTAAACACTACTATCTTTTCTTAATACCTTGGTGGAGAAGCTCTAATATACCTTTTCCTTAGCTCCTCTAGTTCGCATGCAGTGCGACTGGGATTAGGGCTGGAACCCACTTCCGCTCAGCGGCGGCAGAGAGCGCCATCCGAGCCGTCGTATCCGGATGATCCGAGAACCGGATACGTGGCAAGCTCCATTTTTGCGATGGCCAAGAAGCGGCGTGGTGGCAAGAAGGCAGCGGTCAAGCCCGGCGTCGGCGACGTCAAGCTCTATGAAGACGCTCTCGCTCGCCTCCAGCCGCGTGTCCTTAGCACGCCCTTCCTCATGTTCGACTTGTCCATGCCCATGGAGCCGCGCCTGCGCATCGACAACGACGAGTGGCTCACCTGGCCCCTCGGCACGGACGAGACCAACCACATCATCTCGACGTTCGGCAACGGCTTTCTCCTCGGCCTTGTGCCCGCGAGCCGCCTGTCCTTCGAGAATTCCGCGTGGCACGACGAGCTGGAGGGCCACGTCCGGCGGACGGTGCAAGACGCGTTCTTGTCGTCCGGGTCGTTTACGTTTCAGCTGGCGCACTTGGCGGTCGACGCCGCCGGCAGCCGCGAAAGCCTTGTGCCAGCGTCGCGCCCGCCCGGGACGTTTGCGACGCTCTGCATTGCGCTGCCAGCGTGGCACGAGGGTGGGCCGCCGACCTTTGGCGACGCCAACGAGCCGTGGTACGAGGCGCCCATGACCAAGGCGCGCTGCGTCGCCTTCCTGCCAAACACGCCTCTCGTTGTGCCCAAGGTCACGCTAGGTCGCTGCGCCATGCTCGTCTACCACCTGATCCGCGACGGCCCCGGGCAGCTCATCCAGGATACAGCCAATGCGCTCGCCGCACTCGCGGCGCGGCCCTCGCCCAAGATGCACGTCTTTGCGAAAGCGCTCACGAACGCGTCGGTGTGCTCGAGCAACCTCGCGCCGCTCGACCGCGCGACGCTGACCGCGCTCCTCACGTCCAAGGCGTACGACGTGGTGCTCGTCGAGCACGAGGAGGCCGACGACGGGTCGTTCACCGCAGGCATCGCATCGTACGCGCCGCCGCACGGCGTCGAAATGGACGCTGCAATGCACGACTGCATCGACAGCCTCGTCATCCAAGGCATCCTCTTTGCCACCGACGAGCTTCCCGCATGCAGCCTCGTCTTTTGGCCCAAATCGTACCGCGTTCACAAGATGAGCCTCGCCGTCTTGAGCCGCGCGATTCTGGACGCAAGCCGTGGCACGGCCACCGAGCTCTATGGGTATGCCTCGGTCGACGACCTCATTGTCGTCGTCTTGCCGCGCTTCGCCGGCTCGTGCCCCGACGCAGCGTCGACGGTCCTCGACATGTATACGGCCCTAGGGCTCCGCGGCCGCTTTAACATCCTTGCGTACTTTCTCACAACGCTCTTTCATCCGACGCGCGAGCTTCTCGAGGGCATTGGCCGCCTTCTTGTGCAGGACATTCGCGTCTTTGGCTGGCCCGCGATGGCCACGCCGCTTCGCACGATGGTCGGGCGCTGGGCGCTCACGTCGAGTACCGACACGGCGCATGGCTACCGCCTCGTTGCGAGCCTTGCAGGCGTCGCCGACGACCCTGTGTGCGACGCTGTGACGGCGGTTGGGATCACCGATTGGATCGTCGACGCGTGGACGTTCTTGGCCGACGGCGCGTTTGTGGCTTGCGCCCCCGACGACATCAAGAGGGCCGCGACGTCGCTCATCAAGCACCATCTGCAGCTGCAAGCGTACGTTGCGGCGAGTTCGGTCCGCGGCCGGCTTCTCTATCGCTCGCTCCCGGATGTCGTCGTGGCGAAAATTGCATCGTTCCGTGGGCCGCGGTACAACCTCGATGATTGGCTCGATACGGGCGCGCTCTCGACGATCCATGACGTGGCACCGGCGCTGGGCGTTCTTCTGCAGCAAGGGCATGTCGCCGTCGTCGCGCCGTATGCAGAGGCCGTCGTCGATGCGTTTGATGCGGGCGACCATGGCGACGACGCCGGTCTCTCAGTGCATGAGATTGCGAGCCTCTTTGCCGTCAGCTCGCTCACCGACCGCTTCCTCGATCTGCTCGATCCGATCGCAGACCGGTGGCGGCTCGCGCTCGCACCGGCGCTGCTCGCGTTCTTCCGCGGCTGGCCGGCGCTGGCCGAGCCGTGGATGGCCGACGAGGCGGCTCGGTACCTCGTCTCGTTCGCCACGGACGACCGCGCCGGCTACGTCTTTGCCGACAACAAGCACAACACGGCGCTCTACGACGACGAGTACGCGGTCGAAGCGTTTACGAATCCGCTCGCGATCCGCCTCAACCAGCACTACTTTACGGGACCGTCGGCGACCGCGCATACCGGCACCCACGTCCGTGTCTGGGTCGCGTTGGACGTGCTCTCGTTCTTGGCCGCGTTCGCGCCGGCCTTCTTGTCGGTGTTTGCGGCCGCATGGCTGCCGCTCCAGCTCCGTCGGCCCAAGAGTGTGCGCACGACGCTCTATCCCGTCGTCACGCGCTTCCACGACCACGTGGGAGATCGTAAGGATGTGTTTGTGACACTGGCAGAGGCGACCTTGAACGCGCTGCCAACGCCGGCGGACGACGACGATGGCGTCGAGCTGCTCGACTATGCGCTGCCGGCGCTGGTGCCACCGCAAGCGTGCTGCGACACGTTGTGCGCGGCGTTTGCCCAGTTTTTACGCGACCCGCTCGCCGACGAGTACTGGGGCGAGCTCTGTGCGAGTGCGAAGCGCATCATGCGCGCGCACCCGACACGCTTGCACATCCTGCCGCTCGAACACAGCGACTGGCAGAGCTGCCGGCTTGTGGGCAAGATCCACCAAGCCGGGCAGCTACCGCTGGTCGAGCTCAAGGAGCGGCTGAAGCGTCGCAAGACAGCCGACGCCGAGCGCAGCCGCGTCCGCGCCGTCTCGGAGCTCATGGCCATGGCGCGCCATCGAGGCTGATCCACGTTGCTGTGCACGAGCGGTCGCGTTGAATCTTGCATGCGTGGTCGTTGGTATGTTTCGTTCTAGTAATGCCTTTAAACGTTGGATGTACGGGCATGAACCCTAACCACCGTGGCTCGATCGAAGAGGCAGCGCCACAGAGAGGTGTCGTTCGACAGAGATATGCTCACATTGAGTCTACGCTGGTGAAGACATGTTGTACAGCGTCCCGTAGCGCGCAGAAGCTTCTTGGAACCGTCGTTGTCCCCGTTGAGAGACCGTGTGCGTGGGAGTCAGAGCTGTGCATCGAAATCTTGTGCATTTTAGCCAATCACCCGTGCTTTTCGTTGACCAATCACAGCGCATTGTCTATCCCGAACGAACCAATCACGCTGCCGGTGCTGAATTTGCACTTGACAGGATGTCAACCACGCGGGTCCGGCTACGCCCAGCCGCGCCCACGGACGTCTCGCGCTACGAGGACGTGCTGGCGCGCGTTCGCCTCCGCGTCTCCAACGCGCTGCCACGCGTCTTCCTCTTCTCGGCGCCGATCGATCCATGCTTGGAACTCCCGGCGACCAACGTCTCGGCCGTCGATGCAGCGTCGGCGACCGTCGTGCCTGGCCACCACGTGCGCTTTGGCAACCCGGCATGGGACGCCGAGCTGCTTGGTCCTGTGCGCAAGACGATCCGAAAAACGTTTGCGCCAAGCAGCCCGTTCTCGATCTCGCTCGCCTACTACGCGACGAGCCTTCGCCGCTGGCCGCGCCCGCCCGGCGCCTTTGGGACGCTCTGCATTGAGCTGCCGCTGTTTCCAGCGACGACCGCCGCACGCTGCGCCCTGTGGCTCGCCGGCACGAACCTTCCGGTGGACATTGGCGCGTCGCCCGTGCTCGTGTACGACCTCATCTTGAACGGGCCGGATGTGCGGAATGTCGAGGCGATTGCCGGAGTTCGCGCGCTGGCCTCGCGGCCGTCGCCAACTCAGTTTGTCTTTTACAAGGCGCTGACCAACCTGAACGTCGATCCGGACGAGCTGCACCCGCGCGACGCCGCCATCACATCCGTTCTCTTGACGTCGACCATGTACGACGTGCTTTTGGCCCACCTCGAGTGGTCGCGGTCCAAAGACGGCCCGACCGTGACGTCCTGGTGCGTCGCGTCGGCCAGCGCCGACGTACCGGATGCGATTCTCTCGACGCCGCAGGCGTGCGTGCTGCAAGGCCGCATCCAGGCCACCGCCGGGCGCAGTGCGTGCGGCCTAGTCTTCTGGGCCAAGAGCCACCGCGCACACGTCGCGCCGCTCGCAGCACTCAGCGATGTCGTTCGAGGCGGCGGCACCGCGGCGTTCGGCCACGACAATCTCGACGCGCTGCTCGAGATGGTTTTGCCGCGCTTTCAAGATCCGCGCGAGACAGCGCAAGACAGCTTTGGCGGCAGCGTCGCGTCGTTTTACGCTGCGCTGAGCGACGGCCACCACCTGGAATGGATCGAGCGCTTTCTCTGCGACGTGTTTGACGCGCCACCTCGCAGCGACGACCTGAACGCGATGAGTCAGCTGCTGGCGCGCGATGTCGCTACCTTTGGCTGGTCAATCATGGGCCCGATGCTCTCGCGCCTCCTGGAGCGCTGGACGACGACGTCGACGTGCAACTGGCGCCTTGCGTGCGGCTACCACCTCGTCGCGAACCTCGCGGGTGTCTCGACCGACCCCGTCCGGCTGGCCATCGACGCGCCCGGCTTCCACGAGTGGGTTGTTGACGCCTACACCGACCTCGCCGGCGCCGCGCAGATGGCGATCCGTCACGACGACCTAGAAAGCGATACTGCGGCTGCACGCTGCGTGTTGCTGCACAGCTTTCAGCTCCATGCATACGTCGCACAACTGGACGTGAACCACCGATGGTTCTTTGGCACCGCGCCCAGCGATATCGTCCGCACGATCGCATCGTTCCGTGGGCCGACGTATGACCTCGACGCAATCGTGATGGACCTCATGAGGGTGCACCTTATGGCGCCGACGCTCTTCGCAGTCTATCGACATGGCGTCACAGCGCTCCGGGTCGAATGGATTCAGATCACCCTCGATGCGTACTCGCTCCGCGTCCTGCAGTCTACGACGCAAGATTTATCGGTCGACGTGTGCGCGAGTATCCTCGGCGTCGCTGCGATGGCAGATGTCTTCGGCTCGTTCTTCGATCTCATGGCGAGCGACCGACGCCTGCACATGGTGCCTTCGGCGCTGTTGTGTCTCGAGTCCCTTCCCACACCAGCGACACCCGACGTCCTCGCGCACTGCCGCCATACGCTGTTCGCCTTTGCATCCGACGTCAACGGCGCACGTCGTCCTCTCGATGACGACGAAGCGGTCCGTGTCGACGACGCCGCGGCGATGGACGATCCGATGGACGCCTCGTTGTGGCTCGACGCATTTGCTTTTTCGTCGCGTTTGATCCAACCCACTTGGTGTCGTTTGGCACCACGTGGGTTGCGAGTGCGTCGCAATTCAATCACGCGCTCGTGCTGGACGTCCTCGTCCGCTTCCATCACCGGTTTCCTCAGGAAAAAGAGAGTTTTATCGCGCTCGCCACCGCCACGCTGGATGCGTTGCCCGACACGGATGTGGCCCGTCGGCAAGAGCTGCACGAGCTCCTCGACGCCGCTGAAAGCCCAGCTCGCAAGCGCAGGCGCGCTGAGTAGGTGGCATGCGACTGTAATATGAATGAAATCGAGTTGTACGATGCATCCAACACAAGCCGCTGTACTTTGTACATGTCGATCGAGCGTTTACGAGGACAGTGTGCGAGCGCGAGCGCAAGGGCAAGACTTTATAGTGCAGTCGTTGGCGAAAACTGCATAATAAAGGGGACGCTCGGATTGTGTTTCAACTCGCCGTGACGGACGCGACGCGCCACCGCTCGGATCACGGGCCCAGCGCGCAGGGGTCGTGCAGGATGAGCGATTGTACTTTCCATGTCTCAAGTTTTGCGTGCGTCTTGTATGTTGTAGTACTTACGCTTTGCATCCATATTGTGCGAGAGTCCATTCAGTGCTGCGGTGAGATGCTCGCCTCTCGCTTTGGTTGTTCATGACGTGGCAGCACAGTTGAGCACGAATCCATGACGTGGCACGCTCGGGATGCAATATGACGACAAAGGCCATGGCAAGCACATCTCTTCTACCGCGCGATGAAAGCTACCGATTTGACGCTGTTATACCATGTATACGATACTTGGCGTGGACTATAAACTTGACGGCGTGGAGAACATGTCATGTGAACGGGCTTGGTCCGAAATTGCGTGCTATTTAGCTTCAACCAAGAGTCCATACAGTCGACGTACTCGCCTCTCCCAGCGGTGCGCACCCCAACGGCAAAGGTATTGATGAGGATTGCCCTAGTGTCGTTAGCTTCCTATGAGCATGCTATCGGCCTTGCAACCTACCAAGCAGTGCACAAGCTTACCGAGAACGAAGCACGAACCGAACGGCCGTTGGTTATCCGGACCATTCCGCGAAATTAACCGGACGATTGGACATCGGTATCCGGAGTGCGTCGTGGTCAGATCCCAACGTTGACGATGGTCCGGACCCGTGCGATGAAGAGGTCGCCCGACGCAGAGCTCACCGACGTCCAGCGCTTCGAGGCCGCGCTCGCGCTCGTCAAGCCTCGCACGCTGGACCGACCGCGCCACAGCTTCTACCTCTCTGCGCCGGTCGATCCGATGCTGGTGCTTCCGGCCGACAGCGACGAGGTCGCATGCAACGGTGGCAGCGAAGGCCACGCCTGCGCGACGCAGGTGCCAGGTGACCATGTATCCATTGGCAACCGAGCCTGGATCGACGCGCTCCAAGGCCACGTGCGCAAGACGATCCAGACGATGTTTGCCCCGTCCGGGTCGTTCTCGCTGCAACTCGCGTACTACGCAGCGAGCCTGTCTGGCCCGCAACAGCCGTGGGCGCCCACGAATCGCCCGCCAGGAACGTTTGGCTTTCTCTGCGTCGAGTTGCCCGTCGTGCCGGCCAAGACACCTGCGCGCTGCTCTGTCTGGCTCTGCGGCGCGACAGCCGGTCTCTCGACGCGCCGGCCATGGCTTGTCTACCACCTCGTGTTGGACGACGAGAACGGCGATGAGAATGCAGCTGCCGTCGCAGCGCTCCTCGCACTCGCTACTCGCCCATCGCCGCAGGTCCACGTCCTGTGCAAGACGATCACGACCCAGTCCGGCGGCCTCCATCCGCACGACAAGGCGATGCTTGCCGCGCTGCTGGCCACCCAGGCGTACGACGTACTCCTCGTTCGGCTGCAGTGGGCGAAAGAAGCGGACCTCCCGCGCGTCGCCGAGTGGACGCTCCCGGACGGCGCGACCCTGTGCGACGCGGTGACCCACCACCCTCGCTACTGCAAGATCGATGCCCGCCTGTTTGGAAACGGCGCCAAGCCCACGTACGGCTTTGTCTTTTGGCCCAAGTATCATCGCGCGCAGATCGCACACCTCTCTGCGATTGCACGCTCGCTTGCCGCCGCCTCCGACGAGACCATTGACCTCTTTGGCCAGCCGTCGGTCGACGCACTTTTGAGGCCGTCGTGACGCGCCTGCAGTCCCGAGAGCCGAGCGTTCAACTGCCGTAGCGACGACATTGTCGCCGTCTACGCGGCACTCGGTGACGCGCACCGTCTCGACTGGATCGAGCGATTCTTGACCCAGCTCTTCCAAGCCCCCATCAACGGTGATGCGGCCTTTCTTGAAGCCGTTGGCCAGCTCATCTCGCGGGACATTGCCGTTTTTGGCTGGTCGAACCTGGAGCCGATCCTCTCTCAGCTTCTCCAGCGCTGGGTGCGCGCAAGCCGCTACGCACACATTGCCAATGGCTGCCGCCTCGTGGCCAGCATCGCCGGCGTCACGACCCGCCCCATCTGCGCCAAAGTCAAGGCGCCAGGTGTCTCGGAGTGGATCGTCGAGGCTTACACGCTGTTGACGGAAGGCGCGGCCGCCATCGGCGCCGAAGACAACTCGATGCTCGTCTTCGACGCGATCCCGCGTGACATTTTGGAGATGAGCTTTGCGCTGGACGCGTACTTGGCGCGGCTGCCCGTGACGCACCGGTGGTTTTATGGCCACTTGCCCAACGACATTGTCCTCTCGATCGCAGCGATGCGGGGACCGCCCACAACCTTTTGCCACGTGCTACAGCGCGCCGAGTACTCGAAAGTGCGGGCGCTGGCCCCGGCCGTGGCCATGGCGTACCAACAAGGCCATGACGCACTCGCCGCGCCGTGGGTCCCCGCCGTCTTGGATGCTTACAACCGACACGACACGAGCCATGACATGTGTTGGCTGTCTGTGGACGTCCTCGCGGCGCTGCTGGTCGTCGGTGTCGTCGGCGACCGCTCGCTCGAGGTCGCCGGGCTCATGGTTGGCCGCCTGCATCTCCGCGTGGCGCCCGCGGTGCTCTTGGTCTTGCGGGACTGGCCAACGCTTGGCACACTCGATTTCATTGCGCAGTGCAGTCGCCTCTTGCTGGCTGTGGTCACGTCTGGTGTGGATGTCGTGACTGAGATGCCGACGACGAGCCACGACCCTGTGCACGACTACTATGCCAATGGGCCCGACGGCCAAAGCCTCGGCGGCGTCTCGGTCGGCGTTGGTCTGGCGCTTGATGCGTTCGCGTACTTTGCAGCCTTTGACACCGCCAACTTGACTGCGTTTGTGACGGCGTGGGTCGCCGCTGTCGTCCCGCGCCACGTTCGCACAGTGTTGTTGAAGGTCACACTGCGCTTCAGCGACCGGTTTCCCGACCTCCACCGGGCTTTTGAGACGCTAACGACGGCGACGCTCGCAGCTCTGCCGTTGACGTCGGACGACGACCGTCGCCAGGTGCAAGCTCTCGTCGACGCGGCGCAAGAACGTCCTTTGAAGCGCCAAAGAGTTGCTTAGGCCCAGGCTTTCTTGTAGTAGTATATTGATCTCTCTCCAGTTGTGGTGAAGGAGCTTTATGCATGACCATGACGACATGGAAGGAGGTGGCAATAGGAGAATCTGCATGTCGCAACCAAGCAGGAGGAGGTGGCACTCGAAGCAACGTTGGCACCTCGAACGAACATGCTACCACTGATACGTGCCGCGTGCTTCCTGTAAGGAGGACGCGTAGAAGTGCACACTCTGTACTAGGCTATTGTCGTAGAGTACGTACTTCATTCGCGACGCGGACGCTTAAATGTTGACGCTGCCTCGTCGTCGTCCATTTGCATCTCCAAGTCGGCGACCGTGGCCAGGATACGGACGACCATGGTGTCTTTGGCCTCGTCCATCGCCTTTGTGACCACCTCAAAACGAGATGATCGCGTCGCCGCCACATGCAGCAGGTGGCGACGCAGCGGTGCATCGTCGAGCTCGAGACGCGCCACTGGCAAGAGCACCGTGTCTGTGACGTGCAAGGAGTTGGGTAGATGTTGCAGCCACGCTTCGATGAATGATGGTAGTTGCGTCGGTGCAAACCGTCGGAGGAGCTCGATCGCATCATGTACGAGTTGGTGCAGCGCCGGCGCTGCACGCGTTCCTGGTAGATGATGGCTCGGCTGCTTCTCGGTCCGCGCCATGACACCAAACACCGGGACGAGCTCGAAGACGTACATGACGACCTGCGACCCAAAGCCAGATGAGAGCAAGTGGGGTTGCTCCCCAGCGATCGAGCGCATGCCTGGCAGCAGCTCGGCGCCAAAGGCCTCGACCAAGGTGCCAAACATGGCGTCGTCGAGGCGCTTCTCATGCAGTGCGAGAACGAGGAGGCTGCTCGCTGCGTCACCGCCGGCTGCGTCCAAGCAGGTTGAGGCTTCCGATCGCACCGTATCCAGTACGTGCGCGACCAAAGGGCTACGCCAGAGCATCGGGTCGCACTGGACGGCGGCCGCAAGCCCACCGCAATGTCCGAGTAGACGTGAAAGCCCCAGCGATTCAAAATCCAAGAAGCAAAAGGCGGTGGCGATGACAGTAGAAACGCATCCACGGCCGAGACGAGCGCAGGTGGCAGGATGCAGCCAACGTAGTTGGCTGCCGCACGCTGCGGCGCCGTCGTCGTGACATAGGCTTCGAGAAGAAGATGGTGCTTGACCATGTCCGATCGGCGCTGCGTGCAAGATCCCAAGTATTGTACCGCGAGGAGCGCTGCATAGCACCGCTTGAGCAGCTCCGCTTCGTGTGGTTGACGCAGTGGCGGACACAGCGGCGCATCGTCCAAACCGACCAAGCTCGCCAAAAGGTGCAGTACGTCTTCCACGTTGCGGTGGGTCCAGCGCGTGACGAGCTGCAGCAAAGCTGACTGGAATGGACCCCATCCGTGCCTCGTGAGGAGGCCATGCAGCCACAGCGCGAGTTCGCATGCGGGCACGTCGTCTTGGATCGTGACGATGTCAGCGACAAAGCAGATCGTCAAGTGTAGATCTCTTTGCTGCGCCAAGAGACGGGTTATGGTCGCAAGAGGCGTCGTCCTGCCGTGGTCGAGCCGGCACCGGCGGTGTAGGCTCTGCTGGGCGCTGAAGGTCATCATCGCGGCCTTCAAAGCGTCGTCGAGGTCTGGAATACCAAGGACACTGTGCGCCAGAGGCGTTGCTGGATCAGTGTCGTCGTGCGGAGCAACGCCGCAGCCAAGTCTGCCAAGACGGTATCACGGTCGGCCAAGGCGACACGGTGGTGTTTGGGCCAAAAGACAATCGCATGCCTCGACCGCGTGACGCCGATTCCGTCATCGAAGCGATAGTCGAGTGCCCGGTCGTGACACAGGACGCCAAGCTCCGGAGGCGCGTCGCACGCGGGGTGCACGACGACGTCCCGGATGCGATCTTCCGACTCTTCGTAGTGCGCGTAGCAAGCGGCCAGCGCGACGTCAAAGCACGTGGACGACAAGAGAAAATGGACGAGGGCCTTGTCGCTGGGCGCGAGCTGCTCAAACGCCAACGGTCTGCCACAAGGCGGGTACAGAATGGGCTTCCCAATGCGCTGGATCCGCTCAAACGGGGAGGCCGCGAGCGCCGTAAAGGCTGCAATCGCCGGTTCTTGGTCGGGCGGCGCCAGGCGCATATCCTCGTGCTCATCGTCGTAGACCAACCGAAAGACGAGCGCGACGCGGCGACCAGCGGTGATTGGCGCCGACGCGATCGACGTGGTCAAGAAGGCTGCGGCAAAGGTCGTTTCGACGAGCGATGTCTCTGCAACCAAGGTCGCTGTCTCGCTGCCGTACGTAAACGTGATAACGCCACCCTCATGGATCGACGGGAGGAGCACGAGGAGCGAGCCAAACGTGAGCGTGCTGTCGATCTCGACGTTGTTTGTCGGACGCAACGGCAACATGGCCGCGTCGCCGACATTGTCGATGGCCATGTGCGAGAGCACGAGCTGCATCTTGCCCGTCGGTCCCATGCGCTCGAAAACATCCTTCTGCATCAAGGCGAGCATCGCGGCGTAGCCCTCTTCGCCGACGAACGTTATCTTGGTCGCGGGAATGCTACATGACGGGTAGAGTGCGTGGATCTGCGCGGCTTGGGCGGCGCGGAGCGGCCATGCGAGCGGCTCGTCCATAGCATCGAGAAGAAGGGAGAGTCGTGGCGACTGCGGCACCGTGCCCGTGAAGGCGAATGCGCCAGGCTTCTGGACGCGCGCCATGACCGCTTCGTACGCGTTGGCTGTCATCGCGGAACGTTCGGATGCGCCCGCCAATGGCCGTCATTATAGAAAATATAAAAGAAAGAGCAGAATGCCAGCTTTCAGACCGCAACTCATTCTCGCAGCGCGACACAGCCTTGATGTCTGTGGGTGTGAACTGCAGTGGTAGACACTGCTCTATGCACACCTTTGCCTTTGTTTCTGTGCCCTTTTCACATAGTACTTCCCAATCACGACGATGTGCAAACGATTGTTGAATTATACCAAAAGTGCGCGCGAGTCAAGGGACACAATGTAGCACCGATTCTGTTGGTGTTCAAACGAGGTATGACCATGTCATTAGAGAGCTGGTGGACTTTCTACTGCGCTCGTGCCACGCGACGAGCCAGCGTCCGTGGTCGTGGTGCAAAATGAGGCGCCGAACAAAGAGACATGCCACGAAGGGAAGAGAGCGTGAAGAAGCGACTCGGCGAGCAATGGTCTCACGGCGCGACGAGCCCAATGCCAGACGTGAAGCGTGCACTAATTGCAGCCTGGACCGCGAATGTTGTTGAGGTTGAAGCACGAGAAGTTTCCAGCGCTTCGTATTGGCTCTTTCTTATATTGTCGATCTGCCCGTTGAATTCGATGCAACGGGCAAGTTCGCACACTTTTCAATTTGCGAGATGACCGACAACCCATACGACGCCGCGGTTGCGCTGGTTCAAGAGCCAGGCGATTTCGCCTTCACGGGCACGCTGCCGCCGTCGACGCCGTTCCTTATCTACGTTGATGGCATGGACGAGCCGCTCGGTTGGCCGCTCTGCGCCGCCCAAGCCACGCAGCTGCAGGTGCTCCACCCGTCATGCATCGTTCCCGCGACCAACCTCCGGCTCGCGTACGACGATGGCTACCACGCGATGCTCAGCGCAATCCGCAAAGGCATCATCGAGCGCTTGGTGCCGACGGGCGAGTTCAAGCTCGTCCTCTCGCACATGGCCATTGACAGCGTCGGCGACGCCGCCGCATTGCAACTGCTTCCGACGAACGACGACGCGATCGACAGCACGCTCACGTTTGGATCGCTCCTCGTGCTTCTTCCATCGACGTGCGAAGACGGCGCCATCACCTTTGCCTATGGCAGCGAGACCTTGAAGGTGGATGTGCCCACGTCGCATGCTACCACCTTTGCCGCAGCCTTCGTAGCCACGTCGATCGCGTCGGCGCCGATCACCGCTGGTTGCCGCGTCGCGCTGATCTTTCGGTTGGTCTACGAAAAGAAGCATCTCAAGATGCGCCTGGCGCCGCCCAACCAAGACGCGGCGATTGCAGCCTTCACGGCGCTCGCCCAATCGCCGTTGGAGCGGTATCAGCGCATTGGCCGGTTCGTCCCGTACGCCAACCATCACGGTCGCCATCTGGGTCGCCATTCGTTTGAACAGCTCCCGCGCATCGAGAAGGACCTCGTCCGCTTTCTCTTGTCGACCAAGTGCTTTGACGTTGCACTGGCGGTGTGCTACGGCGATGGCGAAGACTCGGCGGACCAACTGCATGATGTGGTGCTGCATCCGGCGTGCGGCGCGCCGCCCGAGCTACGAGAATTGTGCAACAATCAGACGCTCGACCATTGCCTCCCCGAGCGCGTTTGCAGCACGCATTCGAGCCATGTGCTCGTCTTTTGGCCCACGCACCACCGCATTGTCATGGCGGACCGGGCAAAGGCACTGACGTACTTGGCCACGACGCTGCTCGGCGACGCACCGCAAGGCGACGAGCCGGCACCGTTGCTGGGCTATCTCGGTATTTCGGACGTGGACGTCGTCTTGGAGGCCACGATGATGACGTTCAGTGCCCAACGGTCGTCCGAGCAGCATCATTTTACGTACTGGCAGCGACACCAATCTCAACCGACGGCACTGGCGACCATGGCCCGTCTCTTGGCCCATCAAGGTGATCTGGAGCTTACACTGCGGTTCATCGCCGACGTCGTCTCGATTCAGGACGACGTGTCGGCGCCGGAAGTGGCGCTGTGGCTCCATGGGCTCCTCACGACGCATGGATGGAGTCCGTTTGACCCGGCCTTGCCAAAGCTGGTCCGTCGCTGGCGCGTCAGCCACCTGGCCGGCGTCCTGCACTTTCTGGCGAGCTTGGCCGGTCTCGCCGACGCCCCGCTGTGTCCGCCACTGCGCCAGAAGCACGACGCCGAGCTCCTCAAGCGATGCTGGACAGCGCTTCGCGCCGGGAACTTTTATCTGCCGTCCGAGCGCCACCAGTCGGCAGTGGTCGTCCAGCACTACCTTCTTCTCGACGCGTTCATCACGACGATGGCGCCGCAGCGCGCGTATGCCAACTACTTTGGCGACCGTCTCCCACCTGCACTGGTCTCGGCCGTCGACGCCTTTGTCTTACCGCCGTCGGTCGCACACTGGATCATGCGACAGCATGTCTTTCACGTCTACTCGGACATTGCGGTGGGACTTGCGGCCGCCGTCCAGCACAACCCGACGCTCTGGCGTAGCCCCTTGGTCGCGCACGTACTGGATACGGTGCGATTGGAGGTCCTCGGTGCGTTGAGCGCGCGATCGGAAGCGCCCGTCGCTTGGATGCAGCCGCCGTTGACGCAGCGAGCAGCCTCCTCTTTCTCGCACTGCACGAGAAGCGCCTCGACGACGCCATGTTTACACACTTGGTCGAGATCTACGGCGCCGGCCTGCTGCCAGGCGTGCGCTCGATCGTTGTCACGCACACGCACCTGCTATCCTCAGGCTTCGAATCGAAGGTCGTGAAGTACGTCAACGCGTTGGCCCCGGCGCTGGTCGAGTTGGCGCTGGCCGAGAAGAAGAGAGTGCGTTTTGGTGAACTCGAAGGTCCTCAGCCAGAAGCGCTCGTGCATGATGCCATCGAGGTCCTCCGAGCGCTTGCCCCCGCACAGCTGCCGTCGTTTCTTCAAGCGTGGCTGCAACGGCAGCCCAAGGTGCTGGAAGTGACGGATCGAGTGCTTTTACCAGTGGCCGCACTCGTTCTGGACGATGCGCCGCTGTGCCGCCAGCTACTCGACGAGGCGACGTCGCGACCACACGTCGTCTACGACACATGGGTCTCGACCGGGTATTCTGACAGCGACGACGACGCGAACGACCGACGCTTGGCGGAGAAGATGCGCTGGACCAAAGCGAACTTGATCGCCAAGGTCACTGCCACGATTGCAGATTTGAAGGCGCAACTGGCGACGAACCAAGACGTTGCTACCGAGCCAGACGTTGCTACCGAGCCAGCCCCAAAGCGTCGGCGCTGCGAATGCGATGTGTAACCCACCCGCCCTAGTGTTTGTTGCATTTGGTGGGTGCTGTATTACCAAGGATTATGAGACATGTTGAAAACGAACAGGAAAATGTATGTTATTGGCGTCTTGGTGTTGCGATTTCGGTCGTTTGTGGTGGATGTTTGATTGGAACGCTGTGCCACAACACCTCGCTGCTACTACGAGTAGTACTGTACGTAGCAGCACGTACAACGGAGTGTGTCCCTCCATATGTCTCGAAAGGTGAGGTTGAAATTGCCTCACCATGGTTGTCTATACTGTCTTTACTATATACTAGTATTCTGGTCTATAGTCCGAATAGCTTTGACGGCATAGTGTTATACCTCGTGGATTTGAAAAATAGTCTCTGGGTGCAAGATCTCAGTGTTGTTGCTGCGAGCAAGACACGGAATGATGGTCACTCGGAGCCCGACCGATCCAAACGGTCTAGACCAACAGTATATGTCTATGGAATGAAACGCACCACATTGTTGTGCAAATATACCACGAGTAGTGTACAAATCGAATGTGTAGATTCAATTTGCATTGCATATGAACTTACGGGCAATTCAGACTGCATGTGTTGCAAGAACCGATCGTTGCTTCAGCGTGGTGTATGTGACCTTCGGCAACTTCATCCGCACGCCTGCGCTCCGAGCACCAGGGTCTGTAGCACAGACCGGCCTTAGACCACTTGTCGGTGGCAGTGGGGCCCGCGGCGAGGTAGCCGACGACGCGCTAGAGATCATCGCGCACTGTCGTTTAGCTTCGACTGCCTTTTTTACAAATATCCGGATAATCCGGCTACCGGATACGGCTGGAGACCTCAAACGTCATTCCATCAGCTCCTCCATCGCCCAAGGAGAGCAAAATTGAAAAAGAGCAAACAAGATAGACAACACTAGGGACAGCAATGATTTATAGTCAGAATAGGGTTACGACTCGGGCAAGGTTGAGTGACGACGCGCGCGCAATTGCCGTTCGAGGGGGCGAAGCTCGTCGTCGAGGGCCAGGAGCGCCTCGGTGGCCTTTGCGACGACCTGGCTGACGCTGCCTGCGTCATCGCTCGTGTCGTCATCATCAAGAACCGCACTCGTGGCCATCAGCGCGATGTCGTTCACAAACGACTCCACCGAGTCGTACGCGAGATCGCTCAGCTTGCGGCGCATGCGCTGGAGGTCCATCGTCGCACCGCCTTCCGTCTGCTTGCTGTCGCGAAGGTGGACGCTCTCGGGCATCGCAATCAGCTGGTAAAACACGTTTTCCAAGTACGCGTGGAGGCGTGCGATTGGCAGGCGCGAGAAACTCTGCTTGGATCGCTTCCTGGCCCCGTGCTCGTCCAGCGATGCAGAAATCTCGTGTCGGCGCTTCTGTTGCTTGGCAGGGCGCGATGGAGTGGTAGATGCGCTGCTTGGGCTACTGCCCGACGCTGCGTGGGAGCTCTTGTCGCTGCTGCGACTGACTTTGGCGGCTTGGTCCATCTTGAGCATCTGGACTGCGTTGGCCGTGTACAGCTGCACTGCAGTCGGGTCCACAATGAACTCGATCTTGACAGTTTCTGTGCCGTCCTCGTGCACGGTGCGCGTGACGCGCTTGATCGCTTGGCGGCGCTCTGCCGGTGGGGAGGCAGTCGCCGCCGCCCTCGCCTGCGTCAACAGAGTTGCAAAAAGCCGAGTGGACCGACTGCTGCTGCTGCTGCCATGTCTGCTCCCACCCGACGTGTCGGCCATATCGCGCTTGAGGTTCTCGAGCTCGGCGGCATCGTCGCGCGCTTGCAAGACCAGCGCCGAGCGCTGCGACCGATTGCCGTCTTTCGTAAAGAGGTTGTGAAGACCCGTTGTGGGGCGTGCGGTCACAAGGTCGTCTCCGTTTGCGCCAAACACATCGTGCTCCAGGTCGACGTCGTCATCACTGTCCCTGTCGTTCTGATCGTCTATCACCTGGTCGCTTGAGAGCGCGTCGATCTGTGCACGATAGCGCTGGTCGCACCGCGCCAAGTACGCTTGGTGCTGCGCGTGGAGCGACTTGCGGCCGCCACGAACAAACTTGTCGAGGCCGATGTCGCCGCGCTGCGAGCCTTTGATGCTGAGAGTCCGGATCATCGCGATGCGATCCCAGCGCGGTAGTTTCTGGATCGCGGCGTCGTCCATCCCGAACGCCCTGAGCACATCCCCTGCTTGCTTCATTTTGAGCTTTCGCAGATCCGCCGATGTGCCCGAGAGGAGCGACGCCGATGTCGACAGCTCGCCTCGCTTCACCGGGGCGCGAAGAAAGCTAAAGCCCTCGCCACAGGCCGACGGGTCGCCATCGCCCGTGAGCTGGAGCATGCCTTTTCCTTGCAAATGACACTCGATATAGTTGCGGGTCCACTGCCACGGCGTGCGCTCCAGCTGCAGCTCGATCGACCGCGCAATCTGAATGTCGTGCTTGAGCTTCCTAACCACGGGGTCGAGCGCAAACAACGCCTGCTTGAGCTCTCGCTTGGAAAAGCCGTCGAGCACTCGCGTCTGGAGCTGCTTCTGACGGTCGCGGAGACGCGTGGTGAGCTGCTGGATCGCTTTCGCGACGTCCGTCGAGCTCGTTAGCTGCGAGAGACCCATGTCCACGAGCCGGCGGAGGCCGCACAAGTGGCTTTCGTAGAGGCAGACGGACTCTGGCGTCAGCATGGCCCGGACCGCATCGTCGGTGACGCGCTCGTGCGCTGCCTTTTGCGTCCACCCGCCCGCGTCGCGCTTAAAGGTGGCGAGTTCCTTGAGGCATTTACGGACGGCCGTGACCGACTGGCTCGGAAAGAGGCGCTGGACGGCGTCCATCAAAATGTGCTCGCCGCCGTTGCTGGCCTCTTTGAAGAGGCGCAGGACGTGCAATGACATGTACGGCTTGACAAAGTTGTTGGCGGCGCGCGAACCGGGTGCCGGTACCTCCATCTGCGGCTCGACTTGGCCCGCGACAAAGACCGGTGGCAGCTCCATCAACGACAAGGCGGTGGCGCCACGCTTACTAGTACCAGAGAATGTGCGCACGAGGAGAAAGTACTCGAAGTCGTCAACGGCCTCGAGCATCGACGCGCGCGGCCTGTGCTGGAAGATCGGGATCTTGGCGAGATTCGAGTGGAGCGACGAGACCACGGTCCCAGCTGGCACGTCGCCGAGGAACGGCGTGTCGTCGTTGGCGTCCAGCGTCACGACGTCGCCCAGCTCCACGCTGGGTGGCGCTGGCGCCTCGCTAGACGGACGCCAGTAGTGCAGGAGGCGCGACGCCATGCCGGGACGCGACAGCACCGGCGGGTTCTGCTCCACGTACTCGAGGAGAAGGAGCTTTCCGCCTCGCGTTGGGTTCAAGTCGGAGGCCGTCAGGACGGGCGCGGCTTCTGCCGGCGTCGCGTCGCTGGCGGGCGCGATGACGAGGCGCTCGTTCATGCAAAACGTGCCGCGCCGCCGGTGCAGGTCGCGGAGCTGCTGCGGCGAGAGCTCGGGTGTCGCCCACGCGAGCTGCATGGCCGGAACCGAGTGGTGCACACTCGCCATGTGGTGCAAACTGGCCATGTGGTGACGACGGCGGCGGTGCGTCGTGGTACGCTCGTTGGCTGCGACAGCGGCCGTCGCGTCGTCGAACGCCAAGGTGTCGATCGCCACTCGGAGCCGTCCCTCCTTTCCTGGCTCTTCGATCCGACGCGCCTCCAAGCGTCTCTCAAAGATCCCGACCGGCCGTCTCGGAATGTGCAACGGAGGTCTCTTCGCCGGCGACGATATAAGCACGATATGTGCATCGTTCACATCGAGGATGATCTGGGACGGTGGCATGTCGAGGCAGCAGTCCCACGCGACGGCGTCGAGCCACGCGCCGTCGTCCAACGACGGGTTCAGAGGACACGCGAGCGACGATGGTGGCTCGCTGCGTGAGCTCTGTCCGGGATAAGGCGGGACTTCCCAGCGATACGTGCGCGGACGGGTCATGTCAAACGGTACTTCTAGTGCTGCTTCTAGCGGCTGCGGTGTACAGCTCCGGCTGCTATCTATGTCGTGGTGCAGCCGTGTGCTCCGAGTGGCCCGACCCGCGTTCCGTGGGCACTGCAACGTGTCCTCCCCCAATGTCATTGCTGGCGCGGGTCCCAAGCAAGGCGCGTCGCCCCATACAATATCCTGTTCCCAATCGAGCTGCTCGACGGGAAGGTACAGTGCATCGGGCAGCTGCAGCACGGTGCGCGATGCACGTGGCGGCACGGCCGATGAGAACCGACGCATCGGCTTGCCGACCCGGTTTCGCGCCAGGCTCGCGTGCGATGGCACCGCAGACAGGTCTGAGTCGTCCTGCGTGCAGCGTGGACTGTCGTTGCCGCTATGGTCGGCGAACGGGGCAGTCGCGTCGAGGTCCTGGACGAGATGGCGCAGGGCGCCACGGACGTCCTGCCCCGGCTTGGCACAGAGCCGCATGGCACTCAGCTGGCCTAGGTCGGCGATGGCACAGTCCATCGGCAGCGCGGCCACTGCCGTCGGTCGCTGCATCCTGCCTCTGCCCATGGGCTGCCGCTTTTACTAATGAAACACCACCCATGAGGAAATCGTCATACTATTTTTGTTATTGCAAATAGTGTTAGTTTGTATGTCTATTTAGACAGGCTACTAGACAGGCTGTGATACTGTATACACTATTTATGTTTACAAAACGACCAACACTCGGGATCGCGTGGGCGATGGCGTGTCTCCGGCGCCAACTATCAAGAAAGCCTGCCACCACCCGGACCAATTGACAAAGTTGATACTTGCATGCACTTGATACTATTGAAGAATGCTGCTGATAGTGTGTTGGCGACTTGGTCTTAGACAACAGAGCTGCGAGGTGCGCTTCGGGTAGCACTAAAGTACCCTCGTGCTGCCTGCGCATCGCCAGCACGTCAATATCAAAGTCTTGCATGACAATAGTGTACACACATCCCACGAACGCTGCTACAACAAACCGTAGAAATAGATGCGCAAAGTTAGTGGGCGGAAATCGGTTGCGAGCTGTGGCACTCATCGGCCTTGCGGATGTTGCAGAGGAGAGCTTGGCGGGGCCAACGGCGCGAGTCAGCTGTCGGAGGACAGGCCCCACACTCCGTCGGTGCGTCGCCGCGCTTTGGACGAACGCGTCGACGTACGCGTATGTGAGATCGGGGTGCCGCTGGGTGAGGAAACGCAACACGTCGCGTGGGGCTGCCACGTCATAGTGCGTCTGAGTCGCCAGCGTGCGTTCGACGTAGCCGAGTATTCGGCCCTTGAGCAAGTGGCGCGACGCCAGCATCAAGAGACCTGGCACGACGCGTGGCCCGAGCACGTCGAGGTGCGGCGTCACCGCGTCGTACAGCGCATCCGGCAGGGTTGCCATGTACGCCAGCGCCTTGATGACGTGGGCAATGCACGGGCCGAGGCGCAACGTCGGGTACATCTCGGTCGTTGTCGAAAGAAGCGGAAGAAGCCTCGTCAAGGTGGCGTGGGCCGAGTGAAAGTGTGCGTCCAAAAGAACCGCCCACGCAGCGTCGGGCGCCGCGTTCCGCTTGGGAAGGAACCGAGTGACGTGGTCCACCATGTCGTCCGGCAGCGTCTGCTGGAGCAAGCGCAACACCGTCGGATGGGAAGGCGTCCGGTCTTCCGTCTCGTGGTTCAGAAAGAGCGCGTGGTGCAAAAGATTCGTCAGCGATTGCAGCGACCCACGCAAGCCAACAAAGCTATGGCCCATGGCCGACCACGCCATCTGCAGCAGCTCGTCCGCGTTGCCAGTGGCGTCCGTCGTCACAAGCGCACATGTCCACGATAGCGCCGTCGTCGCATCGTCCCAGGACGTCAACTGGCGCGAAAGGAGCGCGGCAATCGAGTTTCGAAGCGCCGTCCAGCGAAAGATTTGAAGGAGGCGGCGTGAGCGCTGCACGAGCACCGCCACGTTGGCCGTAAACGTCTCGAGCGTCGCGACAACGGTCGTGGCCAAATTCAAATCGTTCGCGTCCATGGCAACCTCGAGCAAGTCGGCGACGACAGTCGGGTTGGGCCGCTCTGCCCTACAAGCGCGCGCTGTGAACCAAACGAGATCAAATAACCAGCGTACCGGTAGAGCGTGGCAACGCGGTGAGCGAGCACGAGGACGTTTCTGCACCCGAGGCGTGACGCTCTGGGGTTGCGCCGCGCTTCGGAAAGCGCATCGGAGCTCTTCTTTGGGCCGACGAGGTACGCGCGATGGTCCTTTTTCCAAAACACAATCGTCGACACTGGGCTCGTCGACGCCACATCGCACGGAAAGGGAACGTGGAACGATGCCAGCGACCGACCGCACAGCCCCTGGCACACGCCGTGTGGGGCAATCGACGCCGGGTGGGCCTCGGCGGCGATGATAATGCAGTCTCGCACGTCGACTTTGGCAATGTCGAAGGCTTGCGAGTCGAGAAGGACCGAGAGCAGCGCGGCGTTGAACGGACTGAGCATGGTCAGACCATGTTCGTTGAGATCGAGCGCGAGCAGACGCAAGGAGCCGTCATCGAAACTGTGTGCGACGTCGTTCATTGTCGTGACGCTGTCTGCGTGGTTGACGGGACACCGGAGGTCGCCTGTGTCCTTGGCGACGCGCCAGTCCCACGGGCCATGGCGCTCGGTCCATGCCTCGTATACGATGAGACGGTTGAAAGCATGTTGAAAGCTCTCGATTGCGCAAGAATGGGTCGTGGTCATCGTGTATCGGCGGCGGAGCAAAACTAATTGTGATGCGCAGAGTCTTGTGTGGCCATCCGCGTCATTCTATGTGTACAACTTGATACGAAGCTGACCACACCTTTCGGGTCCTTTCACATCCACTTATCAAGTTGATAATAAACTTGATAAGTGGATGTGAAAGGACCCGATCACCTGTTTGCTATCCGGATACGGCCAGTCGAGTTGCGTTTTTTATGGCATTGATATGACCGTTCACTAAACGCACGCCCTTAAAGTCCGAAAATTGGATTTAGAATATTAAGCCAGCAAAAATTAGCGGGCATGGCGCCTGGACCTCGCCGCTCTACTTCCGCGACTTTTCCTTTAGTCCTCCATGCGATTGCGCCTGCTAATTGGCTCCTGTGCGGAGCTGCATCACGATCAATGAGCCGTAGCTCACATGTGTTGCAGTCTACGACGCGCCTCTTGCGCCTCATCCCTCATTTATCGACTGCACCGAGATCCGAATCGTCTCGCTTGAGATGTGGTCTTCCAGCAGCCCCGTGGCCAGCGCGAGACAACATGCACATCTCCTCGCTCGATTGAGATCTATCAACTGACTTCAATAATACTGACGAGGACTCGGTACTTGATTCGTCTTGGACGTCAGCTACCAAGCTTCAAATTGCACCAGTTCGCGCCCACAGCAAGTGCTGTTGGACATCATCGGCACATCTACTATTATAGTATACCGTGCGAGGCGCAGTCGTAGGGTGCAACCTGTATATATATGTATGAAGGTATTTCGGTTTATCTTCGTTGTTACAAAGAGTTCGCATACGTAGAGACTAGCAATTTCCTTCACTTCTTCGTTCGCTCACCGGGCCGTGGCTGCGCAGGCGCGGCGCGGGGGCTCGTCTTTCTCTTCGGTAGGCGTCCGGGGGCGCTTGTGGCCGCGGGTGAGGCCCATGGCGACACTCTGTGTCAAGGCCTTCCAAGCATTGCCGTCGGGGGCAAAGCTGCGCAGTTTGTCGAGGTCCTCGAGAGACGCCAGCGACTGAGGGGGCGTCAACGACTGGAGGTCGCGGTGCAGGACGATCGGCCACGTGATCTTGGTGCGGCCTAAAAAACGGGGCGCGGCAAAGAAGCGGGTGGCGGCAATGTTGGCAAGGACATCTTCACTCATGCGCAGCACGTGGCCCAGCAGGCGCCAGCGCTGGCGGGCAACGATCTCGCTCAGCGGGACGCTGTCGCAGCGGTCGTAGAGTGCGACGTCGCCGAGCTTGTTCGGGTGAAAGATACCTAGAAGGCGGCGCAGCTGCCGGCGATGAAAGCTGTCAAGGCCCGCCAGCCTTGTTGGCGTCAGGGCCCACGTGCCGCAGTTGTACAAAAGGACTGGGAGCACGTAGCACCTGTACAGCCGCACGCGGTTGCCTTCCGAGATGATGCCTCGACGAAGGTGCGACCTGTGACTCATAAATGCACACATATTGCCCGCTTGCGTTGTTGGTATGTCACCGTTGATGCGCTGCGTCAAAGGTTTTGGCTGAGCCTCAGCAAGACCGTGGTCGAAAGCGTGGTCGAAAGCGGGGCGCGTATCCCATCATGACGGTGGGCGAAACTTTACCGACGCTAGGACGTTTTCTGCAAAGTCGCGCTGGTTAGCGGCGTACTCGAGGTCTTAACGCCTTTGTCTTGGAGTGCGTCCCTCCCGTGACAATAAAGCCTCTATAGAGCCGCCTCAACGTCTCCAGCGAACTTTGCGGCGCACTGGAATTAGCGATGTTGTGATTGCAGCATCCAAACCGCCGTAGGAACCATACTAGTTCGACCACTCGTGTCGACTGCAAACCCCACGAAAGCTAGCATCAGGTAGACCGTCCAAGGCAAAGGCCATCACTTTGCACGAAGACAAAGCCGTTGACGCTTTGAGCAGTAGCTCGTCGAGCGTCATGTCGGCGGTTGCTATTTCCGTTGACGAGCACGGATCGCTCAGCCCCTGTGTGCGGTATCCGAAAGAGTTATCCAACCTTGCATACCAGCTGCGGAAGGTATCGCTTCAAATTCTTTATTCTTGGTTGGACACGGCAGTTCTTTGCGTGTCCACCTACGTGGTGTGGGTGAGGCCCGACGTGCGATGGTTCGCACCGACCTTACACGGTAGCCTCATCGTTTCAGATAAGTCCGTAGCCAAGTCAGGAGATACCACGGGGAAGCCTCGTCGGGTCAAGCAAGATCCGATGATGACGCGAGCAAGTTTTCGCTTCCCGCCATTTCTCGAACGAAGCGGCTCGTTTTGGGGCATTGGCGGCCTCTGATTGGCCGGATGTTTTGAATCCGGCCGATGACAGCCCGTCACCGACCGCCCACTTGACGACACCGGCTGGTGGCAGCGGTCGACAACGAGAGCGAAGATCGGTATTTCTTTCAATTTGGAGGATCATATCATTTTATAACTAACTTAAATAAAAGGCAGCAAAGGCCATCGATGTATACAAGAGGGAATTTCGACGCTCCCATCTCTGCTCTTTTCGAGTTCCGACGATCGTTCTCGGGATGCGTCGTTTACGAAACACACATCTTTCCCTGGACCTCGGAGCGACGAGGACATCAAGCTAAGATTACAAGACATATCGCCAGCCCTCTGATATCACAGAGAGGTCGCACCATGGCAGGACACTGGTAGCAAATCCATTTTGTTGCCCCAAGCCGGCATCCGCGTGCAGAGATTGAGCCGCCAACCCCCCACTCCTGAGGTCTCTGCACCGCCGAGAACGAAGAGCACACAACGAACTATTCTCTCGAATGTTTGATGGGCCAGCCGGCGTTCTTCGCGGCACAGTGGGATGTAGCAGTAGAAGCCTGTGGATCCGCTTTCGTCAAGGCGCCACGTGTCAACTGCTTGGTCGTCGAACTGGTCTGCTGCACAGAGTAGCTGCACGGCAGTCCGACTCAGATCGCATGGCACCATGTGGTCTACTATCGTCGCCAGGTCGTGCTGGCCGTCTTGAAAGTGCCACGTTTCTGGCTTCTGATTGGCTCGCACCCATGTCGGTGACAGCGGGCTTACCACCAGAGACCACCACCCGTGGGATGTAGCAGTGATCGGACATACCACCGCAGGAATCGTCAGCGGTCGACGGGCCACAAGAATATTCCAACGGCGCCGAACCACAGGAACCTTCCGCTCGCCGTGGCAGACGATCGCGATCTTGCAAAACGGATACCGTCCCGGCCAACGATCAGCGCCTCAAAAATCCAGTGACATTTTAATGTCACGTCAAATGGACCCTCGACGAAATATATTGAAGTCCCCGCAATTCTCGGGCAACTTCGTTTAACGAGGTTGCATCTCGCCAGTCAACGCAGGTTTTTTGTTGTTGCTCGAGTCGGTAGTTGGCCACAGACCTCAGTTTGCTTTTTTCCAGCTCGTCGCCACATGCAGTCCAACAGCGCGACGTGGCACCTCGCCGCCTTCCTCGCGCTTGCCGCCGTCACCTCCGCCGCGAGCAACGTCACGTGCGCGCCATCGCAGTACCTCGATGCGGCGACCAACGGCTGCGTCGACTATGTCAACCAAGGCGCCAAGGCCGCCGCGGTGGTCGATGGCACCTTGGACTCGGGCAACACGGCGTGGATGCTCATGTCGTCGGCGCTCGTCATGATCATGACACCGGGCGTCGCCTTCTTCTACGCGGGCCTCGCCGGCGAAGAGATGGCGTCCAACACGATGATGATGTCGTTCGTGAGCATGGCGGTCGTCTCGCTGCAGTTTTGGCTCTTTGGGTACTCGGCCGCCTTTAGCTCGGACGGCGTCTTTACCTGGACGTTTTACAACCACGTGGGGAAGCTACCGAGCGGCACGTACGGCAACGGTACGCCCCATGTGCTCTTTGCGTTCTTCCAGACGCAGTTTGCGATGGTGACACCGGCGCTCCTCAGCGGCGGCATCGTCGGCCGCATGAAGTTTGGCTCGTACCTGCTCTTCATCTTTCTCTGGTCGACGCTTGTGTATGACCCGCTCGCGCACTGGATGTGGTCGCAACATCTCGATGCGTCGTGGGTCCTCGAGCCCTTTGGGTGGGAAGGCAAAATGGGCGCGATCGACTTTGCCGGCGGCACCGTCATCCACATCTCGAGCGGCTTTGGCGCACTCGCAGGCGCGCTCATTGTCGGCCGTCGCTACAACCACAACGAGACCGTCAAGCCGCACAACGTTCCGCTCGTCATGATAGGCACGACGCTCCTCTGGTTTGGCTGGTTTGGCTTCAACGCTGGCTCCCAAGGCGCCGCCGACGGCATCGCGGCGATCGCCGCCATCAACACGCACCTTGCGCCGTGCGCTGGCTTTCTCACCTGGACCTTTCTCGAGTTTGCTTTGTACAAAAAGTTTGATCCGTGCGGCGCTGCCTCCGGAGCGGTCGCGGGCCTGGTCGCGATCACGCCTGCGTGCGGCTACGTCCTCCCCTGGGCCGCCGTCGTCTTTGGCATTGTCGGCGCGGTCACGGGCTTTGGCGCCGTGCGCTTGAAGAACAGCATGCGCTACGACGATACACTCGACTCGTTTGCGATCCACGGCTGCGTCGGCGTCATGGGCGGCTTGCTCACGGGCCTCTTTGCCAACCCGGAGGTCAACCCTGCGGTGGTGGGCGGTGCGTTCTACGGCCACGGACAGCAGTTTGTGCACCAGCTCGTGGCGCAGTGCGTCGCCGCCGGCTACTCGTTTGTGGTGACGCTCCTCATTCTCGTCGCCCTCAAGTACACGATTGGTCTCCGCGTCTCGGAGGAGAGCGAGATGAACGGCATGGACGTGACGTACCACGGCGGCCTCGCGTACGACTACGCGCCCAAGACGCGCCACTCGAACGAGTCGTCGGGCCCGACGACGGGCGAGTTTCAAGTCATGATGACGCCGTCGACGACCGACCCGGACAAGGAGAAATCGCACTTGCACGTGTGAGGATCGATCGCGTCGTGCATGTATAAGACCAATCAGGTCCCAAATGAAGTGTGTTTACATCCAGCTGGATTGTAGGGTTCGGGTAGGGTTTGGGTCCGCCTGCTGCACAAAGTAGAGCTCGCGCAGACCGCGGGTGGCTGTGGCGTCGAAGAAGCCGCGCTTCCACGCAGCGACGCCGCCCCAGTCGGCAAGGACTGGCTCCGTGAACGGCTCGAAGATAGTTCGCATTCGTTCGGATGTGCGTCAACAAGATCGTCGCTGGCGTCAGACCTAAAACACATGCCACGCCACAAGTTCAAGCAATAGAATTGTAATTTCCATAAAAAGGGTTGACACGTGTGTTCGATCGAGGCTAACACGTGGAATAAGCTGGCACGCACAACTCGACGAAGATGGCGTCGCACATTATGGAGGAGCGCGGGACCTATAAAAGCGTAGCCCAAGTTAGCACTAGGCTATGTTAAGGGACTCGTTATGCCAGTAAACGTAGCTTTGCTAGTGCCAAGGCCATAGATAGGTATGCTCCTTGCTACCACGTTGAGCTTTCGTCGGACGGCCACTGGTCGCGTTGCATTCGATCCGAAAGCCTCTTGTGATGGTCGTCTCTTGCCGAGCCTATTGCTCGAGGTCCAGGCTCAGTCGGGTATCGAACCGCTGCAAGCACATGTCAAACCGGCCCGACTAGAGGTGCGTTTGGAAGACTGTCTTTGACGTCAACGACGTCAGGACCGTCGTCTCAAGACACGGGCGACTCGAGAGATAGCTGCAGTGCGATCCTTCGTTTGCTGTTGCCGTCAGTCCAGACACCACACAAGCAAACTCACTGCATTCACGGAAGCATACCACATACATGTATCCACTTCGCCCGACTAGATAGTCGGCGCGTCGCCAGTCGACGCCTTCATGCGGCAAAGTTTGCTCTATCGAGGATGCGATCAGAAAAGCGAGAGGATGCGAGCAGTGGTGCAGTACCTGTATCGAGCTCACGGAGCGGTTGAGAAAGAGACCCTGCGCACGGCCACGCTCGAAGATGGTCGGGGCCGAGTCCGTGGCGCATCGTTGGGCCGCGCGCAAGAACTCGACTTCGTCCTCGGTAAAAGGTACTACGCTGGGCGCCGCGGCGGTGCTGCTGCGGCCAGGTGACGATGCCACAGACGCTGTCCGCAACGCTCTAGCACGTCGTGAAGGATGCTGCAAGCACAGCTGGGACGCGAACCGGAGTGCGCCGAGGTGTTGTCGCGGCGACACTCGTGTGGCGACGCTGTCTTGCTGCAGTCGGGCCACCGCGCCTAGAGAGCACATGATGAATGCATTGTTGACGACACGAGCTCGCACCCGGCGACGCCACCGGTGTCTGCCTGCGCCGCTTGTAGTCGTGCTGTTGGTTGCTAGATAATAGAAGAGAGGGGATCCACCCTCTCTACACATGCAATGGAATTGTACCCAGGCACGTCGGTCACGGAGGCATCGGTAGAGCGTTTCGCAGGTCGGCCTTTTTCAGTGCTGCTTGTTGCGCCGTCCGTGGCGAGATCTACGCTGGCGACCATGTGACTCCGGTGCGACGCACCCTTGCCGTCGACAAGCGTGTCAATGGCGGTAGCTGAATCGGGTGCCATGTTCGCTGCTGGAGCGTCGGCGGGCCGAGCATCCATGACAGCAGCCAATGGCATGGGCTGCGCCTCGACGGTCACCGTCTCTGGAGCAGGTTCAAGTGGTGCAGCTGGCGCATCGGCGACTACCGTTGGCGCAAGCGCATCTCCGGCAAGGGGACGGTTCGGCGCCCAGTACTCGACAAGCCGACGCCGCATCGACGCATAGTTCCACACGGGTTCGTCGGCGCGCCAGGCTTCAAAGGTCCCAACCGTGGCCGGTGGGCAGGCGTTGCAGAGCAGCGCCATCTTCAAGCGGTCGGCGGCCGCCACAAGCCGCGCATCGAGCCCATGACTCGGCACAAAGATGACGTCAACAAAGCGCTGGATGTGCTCCTCGACGCGTGCGAGGCCGTCAGGCCGCTCGTCGTTGTCGGCAAATCGCACGTTTTCGAGAAGCCCAAAAAAGCGGCAGTCGTCCATGAGCTCGAAGCCCTTGGCGTGCACGCTGGCCCAGAGTTCGTACGGCGACCTGCACATGCCGAGCTTGCCGTGGAGGTGGGGCGAGAGCGCCGAGAGCAGAAAGGCCACAGCCGCCGCCACGGTGCGCGCTTGATGGGCCGCGGCCTCGGTTTCCATGACGCCGGCTGCATGCGCAAGGACCGCGCGCGTACGCGCCAGCAGCACTTCGCCAAACTCAGCCCACGGCAAGTCCTGTGGCACGGGCGCGACGGCGATCTCGGCCGCGGCGAGGATCTCTGCGCGGCGGGCCACCGTAATGAACTCGTCGATGGTTGGGTCCGCGAAGTCTCGGATTGTGTAGTACTCCCGCAGGCCGCGGGCAGCCGCGGCGTCGAGGAAGCTGCGCTTCCACGCAGCAACGCCGCACCAGTAGGAGAGGACCGGTCCCGTGAACGGCTCGAAGATGGCTTGCATTCGGATGTGCCCGTTGAAGGATGGCGTCAGAGTTCTAACAAATGCCCGACGCGTTAGACCACAATAATATTACGGTAGGCATAAATATGATGTTAGATTCGTGTTATAACTGTACTAACACGTGTGCTGCGCTGGCCCTTGCAGCGGAAACAACGCGACTGCAGGTGGTGTTTTGAATCTGTATCAGACAGAGACCACTGCCATAGCAAGTGGAAGCTTGCATCCGGTCAGCTTCTGGGCACCGCGGCTTCCCGCAGGTCTGAATCATCAATCGAAGCATGCCCTTGCTACCTTTAGGGCGGCGTACTCACGTGCATACCACAAACGAGTGAGCTCCGTGCATCGCTAGACGTTCAAGCTCCAAGTCTTACCGCTTGAGTCAATAACTTGACCGCTTGCGTCTGGAAGCGTATTGTGATGTGACGCTGTTGGCGGTCGAGGCTCGGAATACAACCAATCAGCGATTGGATATCTTGGCCAAGCCAATCCACGTAGAGCATGATGCTTGTCACGGCCGCGATTGGTCGGTGGCTTCGATTTGCGGCGCTATTTTATCAACGTGGATTGGTAGAAATCCAAAAGATTCTAGCCAATCTATACTTCTGATTTAATGCCAGCTTGTTTTAACTTGTTGTTTGTATCAAGATGACAGCAACAAGCATAAAAATACACATTGCACTTTCTGAGAGACCATGCAGATGATGACGACGACGACGAATGCGAGCAAGCTCGAGTGACACTGACGACGTGCTCTGACGCCTACATTATCCAACTACCACGTGGGCTCAAGCAGCGTCGTCGTAGGATCTTGATACCGAGCTGTATACCGCTGCAATGGACGGCGATGTTGCGGCGGCTGCGCAGTTGCTGCAGCGCGGCGCCTCGATGCAAATCGCTGGCGTCATTGTCAAAGGCGGCAAGCTGCTATCTTGAGCAGGAGCGACCCGAGAGACACTTCTTGAATCACGACAAAGAAAGCATACAAAGCACAAACAAGCTATCCGCTCTTTCAAAAACCATCGACTCTACGTAGACGAGGTTGTCGACTCCGTGGCCTTCATGCGATGGAGCTTGTTCTACAGTCGATCAGGTGCGAGCAACGAGAGGTAGGTGATGGTACCTGTATCGAGCCAATGCTTCGGTTGCTGAAGAGCCCTAGAGCGCGGCCTCGATTGTAGATGTCTTGACTCGTGCCCTCGGTCAGAGCTCGCGCGGTGCGCAAGAACACGATCTCTTGCTTTGTGAACGCATTCCACGGCCTTTTGGGTGACGACGAGGCCGTGGCCGTGCTTGGGCGGTGTTCTGGCTACACGCTGCGGTCGACGATGGCGATGGACGCAGCGCGCTATCATCCCATGATGAGGTCATGCAGCGCCATGGCTTGGTTCCGAACCGCAGCGCGATGAGGTGTTGTCGCGGGGATATTCTCGTTGGAACGTTCTCTTGCGGTAGTCCGACCGCGCCTAGGCATCCATGTCATCCAGAAAGATACACCCAAGCGCTCGCACCCTGTAAGACGACGTTGGGCGTGGGTGCGGGCTTGGGCCGCTTGCGTTCTTGTTGGTTGCTACACATCGCAACATCATCTTTCTCCATCTCTTGTCGGTCGCGGTTGATACCTCACGCTGTCCGGCGACTCGTCATTCGCATCGGTACTGCGCTTTCTACGTGGGCTTTTTATTGTGCGTAGGCTTGCCTTGCAGGCGCCGCGTCATCGGTCGCCGGCTCTACGCGATCCGTGATATCGACGTATCTGCAGACGCCGTGACGCACCCATGTCATTGTTGACGCCATGACCGGAGGGTTCGATGGTCGTGGTGCTTGGACGCGACGCTTTGCGCGAGGCCATTGCCAGATCGCGGGCCAACGCTCGGATCTGCGCGTCCAGGTTATCGTCCGCTGTCGCCGGCGGCTCATCCGTAGCCAAAGGCTCTGGAGCCATTTCGTCGACCACCGCTGGCGGCGCATCAGCCACTGGAACGCATGGAGCATCGGCGACCCAAGCTGGCGGAATTCCATCCTCGACAAGAGGACGGTTCGACGTCCACGTCTCGACAAGCCGACGCCGCATCGACGCATAGTTCCACATTAGCGCATCGGCGCGCCAGGCTTCGCAGATGTTGGCCATCGCCGGTGTGCACGCGTTGCAGAGCAGCGCCATCTTCAAACGGTCGGCCGCCGCCACAAGTCGCGCGTCAAGGCCGTGGCTCGGCACAAAAATGACGTCAACAAATCGCTGGATGTGCTCCTCGACGTGTGCGAGGCCGCCGGGCAGCTGGTCGTCGTCGGCAAAACGCACGTGTTCAAGATGCCCAAAAAGGCGGCAGTCGTCCATGAGTACGAAGCCCTTGGCGTGTACCTCAGCCCAGAGCTCAGATGGCGACAACGTGTCGTCGAGCTCGTCGCGGAGGTCGGGTGACAACGCCGAGAGCAGAAAGGTCACAGCTGCCGCCATGGTGCGCGCTTGAACTGCCGCCGTCTCGGCTCGCATGGCGTCGGCCACATGCGCGACGATTGCATGTGCGCGCGCCAGCACAGCGTCGCTGAACGCCGACGATGGCAAGTCGTGCGGCACGGGCGGCACGGCAACCTCGGCGGCGGCGTGGATCTCGATGCGTCGGGCAGGTGAGATGGTCGTGTCGATCGCATGGTCCTTCAGCTTGTAGAGCTCGCGCAGACCGCGGGTGGCTGCGGCGTCGAGGAAGCCGCGCTTCCACGCAGCGACACCGCCCCAGTCGGCGAGGACCGGTCCCGTGTATGGCTCTGCCATGGCATGCAACAGAGGAATGGCCAACTAGGACCTGGGTGAAATGGCGCACGCGGATTGGTGCAAAGTGCTTTCGGTATCCTTATGATTGGCTGAATTTCGGCCAAATACAGCACCCGCATTGGTCTAAAAGAAATAATTCAGAAACACGAAGTTCGAAGCTGCCAGATCGCGATCCGCGCGCAAGCGTTTTGGCGCTGCTACTCTGGCAGCACTGGTTTGCTTTGGGCTCTTCCCAAACTCAGAAGTCGACTTGTCAATGGCGCCAGTAGCGTCCAAGCGGACCTTGACTCCTTGCAAAATCCCAGATATCGGTGCCATGAAGCGACTGGTACTGGTAGGCGCCAATGTCAACGTCGAGATGTGGGCGACGGAAGAGACACGTCTTTGGCAGACTCACGGCAAAGAGAACTTACAAAAGCACGAGCAAGCAATATACTCTTGAGCATGACAACGGACACCGGGACGCCGTCCAGGACGGCCCCAAAGTGCTGAAATCAGGCTCCTTGTACACTTACGACGCGGACATTTACTCGTTCCGTGTCATTTTCACCGAGCTCAACACGCTGGACGCGCCCTTGGCTTCCCAAGCCATTGTGGACATCCTGCACCAAGCACGGACAATGCCCGCACCGTCAGCTGCCTCGGGTAGCGCGCTATTGTTGGCTTCGTCAACGACGCCATCGCCTAGCAAAGTCACGGCGGGCTTGTCGACGCCTGCAACCAGTGTCTCGACGTCGGTAGGACGGGCGCGGGATCATAGCCAGCGTGCAAAATGTGGGGTAGTTTACGTCCTGGTACAACGCGCGCCTCGTGTGTGTCTAAACTGCAATGCGTCCAACGACCTCCAAGAGGCCACGTGCGCAGGGTGCAAGGCGCCGACGCCACCGACCGCCACCAAGCTCCAAGTGCTCCTCCAGCGTCTCGTCGTCGAGACGACGCTAGTCTGCATGGTCTGCGAGGCGCTAAATGCAGTGACAGCACCAACACGTGCGACGACTGCGACAACGAGCTTCCCGACGACAGCGAAAAGTTGCGGATCGTTCTACGCCGCATGGACGCCGCGACGCCGGCGGCCGAAGCCAGTGGCATCCTCGTGTAGGTTCCTTGATGATAACCATCGCAGTTGCGCGAACCTTCCTCGCCGTCGCTCGCTCGGGACGACAATCGAAGAGCTGTGAGCCACTGTTGTTTTAACGTCACCAAATCTTTTGTCTGAATCGCCGGAGCACTGTCAGCACCGCGACAAAGCTCCATGTGGTGCCATGTGGTAGTTAGAAACGACGAAATTATACAAATTTTGACATGTGATTATGACGTCTCGCGGCAACATCAGGTGGAGGTGGAGAGATGGCGTCGACGACCGGATCGGCGACTCGCAAGACACCCCATTGACGGCGTCAACCCTTCAGCAGGCACAAAGCTCGACCCATTTAGAGACTCAAGCAGACGAGATGGCGGCAGACACCATGGCCTTTACACGGCGAATTTTGCTCTACGATCGACACCATGGACTACCGGCTACAAAATTTGTACTTCAAAAGAGACAGGAGTACCTGTACTGAGTACAAGGATCGGTGGAGGAAGAGACCCTGAGCACGGCCACGCTCGAAGATGGCTTGGTCCGAGTCGGTGGCGTGCGCCAGTACAGCACTGCGCAAAAACTCGACCTCGTCTGCTTGGAAGAAGTAAAAGCCCTTGGCTGGGCCATGGGACGACGCAACCTCGTCCGATTCCGACTCGGTGCTGCTTCCATGTCCGTCGTCTTTGGATGTCCTAACGAGAATGCGGATGTGAGCTGACTCGGCAACTGTTTGTACCGCTGTGGCTGCCGAGACCGTCTTGGGACGCCGGTTTCTTCCTTGAGCTCCAAGGCGATGCCACCTAGAGCCGATGTGACAAGAGCGTAAAACGTTTGAGCTCGTACAGTGTGAAGGCCTCGGCGTGGATCCGTGCGTGAGCCGCTTGCATTTTTGTTGGCTACTACACGGATGGTAACCTCATTTCGCTCTTCACGGCCGGTCATGGTGTGTGTACCTCGTGCTGGCTTGCGAACCATGTGCGGAAGCATCGGGCCCGCGCTTTTTTGGCCGGCCTCTTCTTCTGCCTTGTGCCGCAATGGGCACGTCATCGTCGTCTTCGGTTAGAAGCGCTCCGCTTCCATGGAGTACATCGACAGCTTGGGGGCTTTGAGGCGCAAACATGTCGTTCTTGTTGTCGTCGACACAACGTTCGACAGCGGTGCTCGGGCAAGATGCTAGACCCGCCGTGTTTGTGGCCGTCGCTGGGTCGTGGACCACGGCTGCGAGCTGCGCCTCCAGGCCCCCCGCTGCTGTAGCTGGCGGCACATCGACCACTTTCGCTTGCAGAGCGTCGACAGCCGACGTTGGCGGGTCATTGGTCGCGAAGCCGAGATGCTGTGACTTGCACTGCTCGATGAGCCGACGCCGCATCGACGCGTAGTTCCACACGGGTTCGTCGGCGCGCCAAGCTTCAAAGATGTTGGCCATGGCCGGTGGGCACGCGTTGCAGAGCAGCGCCATCTTCAAACGATCGGCCGCCGCCACAAGTCGCGCGTCAAGGCCATGACTCGGTACAAAGATGACGTCGACGAAGCGCTGGATGTGCTCCTCGACGCGTGCGAGGCCGTCGGGCAGCTCGTCGTTGGCGGCCAAACGCACGTTTTCGAGAAGCCCAAAGAGGCGGCAGTCGTCCATGAGCTCGAAGCCCTTGGCGTGCACGCTGGCCCAGAGTTCGTACGGCGACCTGCACATGCCGAGCTTGCCGTGGAGGTGGGGCGAGAGCGCCGAGAGCAAAAAGGCCACGGCCGCCGCCATGGTGCGCGCTTCAACTGCCGCTGCCTCGGTCGACATAGCGTGATACACGTACGCAATGATCGCGTGCGTGCGCGCCAGCAGAGCGTCGCGAAACTCGGCGGATGACAAGTCGTGCGGCACGGGCGGCACCGCGATCTCGGCGGCCGCGTGAAACTCAGCGCGTCGGGCCGGCGAGATGGTCACGGGGTCTGCGTAGTCTCGGACAGTGTAGTACTTGTGGAGGCCGCGGGTCGCTGCGGCGTCGAGGAAGCCGCGCTTCCAAGTAGCGACGCCGCTCCAGTCAGCGAGGACCGGCCCCGCGTCGGCGTGTGGCTTCCCGCTTGCTTGCATTTCGGATTGGCAGAGATTGGCAGTTGGTGCCGGTGTTAAGAATCAAGTGTTAGACACGCGTTGTGGATTATATTGCATTATATTGGTCGCAATACGTGTGCTAACAAATGTTACACCAGTTGAACAAGTGTGATGTGCTGGCACGCGCTGCGTGCAGCAATTTTCCGCATCGCGTGACGGCCATATTTATGCATCGCCGGGGTACGAGGTCGCTAGCGAAGACGCGAGCAAGTCATTTCGGATGCGGCGTCAAGAGTGTCCTTGACGCTGCCAAGCCAAGGTGCACAAGCGCGCAGCAAGCGTTGACGAGCATCGAGCGCGGATGGAGTACCGGTATGGAGATGGAGTTGGTCGTCGAAGAGACCCGCCGCCAAGAGACTATCGTTGCTAACGTCAATTGCGCGTAGCATCAATGGGCTTGGGATGAGCCCATGCATGCAATCGGGCCGATGCCAACGCATCCCATCTGCATGTCTTGCGCACCGAGACTTGCGGCCACACGCATGGGTGGCACCATTAGCAGTCTCGTGACAGAGGGACTCACGTTCGACCTTTCGCACCACCGGAAAACAGCAAGCACGAGCACTCTCCTCACACAGAAAGTTACTCTCTTCACACAATAAGGCGACGAAAGTGGATGAACCTTAGGCAGACTGCGTGGCGGACGCGGTGGTTTTCATGCGGCAAAGCTTGCTCTATCGTCGACATGCTTCACGGCCTAGTGCTGCCAGCGCGAAGAAGTACCTGTATCGAGCTCCAGGATCGGTGGACAAAGAGACCCTGAGCACGGCCACGCTCGTAGATGACGTGGTCCGAGTCCTTGGTGTGCGCAAGTGCAGCACATAGAAACTCGATCTCTTCTGGCTCGTAGGTTTTTGCTGCATCACGGAACGACGAGACCTCGTCAGATTCCGACTCGGTGCTGCTGCCATGGCCGCCGCTTTCGGGCACTGCTGCTCTTATCGCTCTCTCGTGCCACGTGGAAGGATGCAATGAGGGCTGCTTGGGTTCATACCGCAGCGCGCCGGCTTGGAGCCGCGCCGACATTCGCGGGGCTGCGATCTCATCCTTGTGCTCGAATGCTACGCCACGTATGTGTGTCAAGAGCGGAAATCGTTTGAGCTCGTACAGTATGAAGGTCTCGGCGTGGATCCGTGCGTGAGCCGCTTGCATTTTCGTTGGTTGCTACACGGATGATGGTAACTCATTTCGCTCGTCACGGCCGGTCATGGTGTGTACCTCGTGCTGGCTTGCGGACCATGCGCGGAAGCATCGGGCCCACGCTTTTTCGGTCGGCCTCTTCTTCGGCCTTGTGCCGCAATGGGCACGTCATCGTCGTTATCCGTTGCAAGCGCTACGCTTCCATGTAGTATTTCGACATCTTGTGGTCGTTGTGACGCGCCAATGTCGTCGTTGCTGCCGTTGGTGTCACGTCCAATGGCTTTGACAGCGGTGCTCGGGCAAGATGCTAGACCCGCCGCGTTTGTGGCCGTCGCTGGGTCGTGGACCACGGCTGCGAGCTGCGCCTCCAGGGTCCCTGCTGTTGTTGCTGGCGGCACATCGACCACTTGCGCTTGTAAAGCGTCGACAGCCGACGTTGGCGGGTCATTGGTCGCGAAGCCGAGATGCTGTGACTTGCACTGCTCGATGAGCCGACGCCGCATCGACGCGTAGTTCCACACGGGTTCGTCGGCGCGCCAAGCTTCAAAGATGTTGGCCATGGCCGGTGGGCACGCGTTGCAGAGCAGCGCCATCTTCAAACGGTCGGCGGCCGCCACAAGTCGCGCGTCAAGGCCGTGGCTCGGTACAAAGATGACGTCAACAAATCGCTGGATGTGCTCCTCGACGCGTGCAAGGCCGTCGGGCAGCTGGTCGTTGTCCACAAATCGCACGTTTTCGAGGAGCCCAAAGAGGCGGCAGTCGTCCATGAGTACGAAGCCCTTGGCGTGTACCTCAGCCCAGAGCAGAAACGGCGACTTGCTGTCGTCGAGCTCGTCGCGGAGGTCGGGTGACAGCGCCGATAGCAAAAAGACCACAGCCGTGGCAATAGCGCGCGCTTGGAGTGAAGCCGCCTCGGCCGTCATCGCATCCGTCACATGTGCAACAATTGCATGTGCGCGCGCCAGCACAGCGTCACCAAACGCGGCGGATGACAAGTCGTGCGGCACGGGCGGCACAGCAATCTCGGCGGCCGCGTGGATCTCAATACGTCGGGCCGGCGAGATGGTCACGGGGTCTGCGTAGTCTCGTACAGTGTAGTACTTGTGGAGGCCGCGGGTCGCTGCGGCGTCGAGGAAGGCGCGCTTCCAAGCAGCGACGTCGCTCCAGTCGGCGAGGATCGGCCCCGCGAATGGAGCCATGGCGGGTTGCATTTGGTGCCGGTTTGCAGTTTTCACCCTTGCATAAACCATCATATGGAACAAGTGATGTACCAGATCGAACAAGTGGGCTACCATATCGAACAAGTGTGCAGCGCAGAGCAAACACTACTATTGTACTGTCATCACGATAGGGGGTTCTACCACGCGGACGGCAATTGGTGTACAGGACTCGACTCGAGCGCACACAGCGTTCCTTCGACGTCGATGTCGTGGAGTCCAACTTGCACGCTAATGGCTCGCGCACTTCCTCTCGCCCAGTGCAAGGACTGCACTGCGATATTGTACAGGGTTGTACACGTCACAGTGACGTGGCGACACGAGTGTTCCACACGCAGTATGATATATCAACTTGATACTACTGGTGGTCGCATTGCAGTCGCCACAGCCACTGCAACCATCGCCGCCATCATTGCTCTGTAGCACAGATTGCATGTTGAGTTGGATTCACGTCGTTCGCAGATCCCAGAACTGAGAGAAAGAACAACATCCCGTGTTGTTGCAGGTGCATATTCCGGGTCTCCACCGATGCGATCGAAGATTGAGTTGAAAGACTTGCGAGAAGGATGTGGTCGACTCACGTGTGGACCTTCGGCGCCTTGCGCTTGTGACGAAACTTCTGAAGCTTCTTCTACAAACATCATTGTCATCAAGTTGGTTCGTAGGAAATGTCGCGTATATACCTGCATCGACTTCAGGTTTCCGTCTGTAAAGAGGCCTTGTGCTTGCCCAAGCTGGTAGATCTTTTTGTTTTTTGTCTGAAGTTTGCAGTACTCAAGAACGCCAGCTCTGCTTGCGTGAACGGCATTGATTCAGATTGCTCCGTGGCCGACGCTGCGGGGGCGGCGTCAGGCTTGGTGCCGTGAGCATGCTCGTCGATTCTGGGCAGCGCTGCACCTTCGGCTCTATCGTGGCACGTGAACGGATGCAAAAGCAGCGTGGTTGGGCACCCTTGGGCGCCAGCTCGCGGCTGTGCTGGCATTTGCGCGGCGACGACATCGCCCTTGATCTGCACGGCGGCGACTTCTATAGCATATTTGTCAAGAGACTGAAGTCGACCACGCAAGCGCGCACCTGGCGACAACGGGCGCGGCAACGGGTTCTAACAAATGTCATGACAGTATTTTTAAACGAAAAAACGCTTCGTATGCATTAAATATGTCGCAAATGGGTTGTTATGCCAGTTCTAACACGTGTGATGAGCTGGCACGCGCTACGCGCAGCATGCATTTTCATTCGATCGGCCTCCGGCGCGGGAGGGTTAAATGGTCCTGGGCTGCCTCGACGTCCTTTTCAAGCACATTGGGCTTCTTGCACTGCCGCTAACAATCGTTCTGATGCGGTCTGCGACCAGCGGGACAGTTGGACGAGTAAACATCAACTTGATTCCGGTAGTCTCGTCTTAATCACCGCTGCAGCCACTGCAGCCATCGTTGCCACTATCGCTTGAGTCGTTGCTCTCTTCTGCCGCCGCACGCCTTTGATATTGGAAGGCTAAATCACTGTCGTGCAGATAGATGCCATGGTCGCCCGACGCGCCTTCAATTGGCGGCTGCGGCGTTCGCGATGGCGCTGTGCTTTGGAGGATGCGGCTCACAAGCGCCGTCGTGTCGTACGGTACGAGGACTGTGCCCCAGCGGCTCGCCGACGTCTCGGTCACGGGCGTTCCCTCGGCCGCCACGGCGCTCGGCCGCGTGTACGGCTCGTTGTACGCATGCTGCCACAACGCGCTGGTGCGCTCGAGGCTATGCTGCAGCGATTGCTTGCTGTCATTGTGGTCTAGCACGGTGTCTCGAATGCGGTAACAGTACTGCGCGTAGCGCTTTGGCTGCGTCAGGTGCGCATGCCAGACGAGGTCGATGTCTACGGTGGGCACCAGCGGTGATGGCGACGTCAGCGCCATGAAGCGCTCGTAGCGCTCAATCGACGCTCTCAACACAGCCGGGTCGCTCCAATAGTCGATCTCGCGGCCAATGGTCTCAAGGAACCGCAGCTGTCGAAACATGCCGTGAACAAGGTCGAGCGAGATAGCGGGGTTGAGGCCGCGGCGTATGCTCGCGAGCATGTGACGCCGTCGCGTCATCTGTGCGTCGTTGTACGCGTCCTGCGAGGGTCGTGTAGCACGGATGGCAGCCGTCTGCCGCGCCAGAAAGGTGTCCCACGATCCATCGTGCGGCAGCGATGGCGTGTCGACGACGACCGTCGTGCTCGTAGCGCAGAACGGATGCGCATCAATGTACGCCACGAGCTTGTAGGTTTCGTAGTCGTACCGGCCATGACACGCGTGGCAGGCAGCGGCAGCTTGCTGCATATGCACGCGAAAGGCCGTGGTCGGGGCGATGGAGGCACCGCAGTGCGGGCAGTGGGAGAGCATCGACTGCAGCGAGGTTGGCGGGCGACGCATCGCCGTGTCCTGGGCGAATGCGATGGGATGCAGCTGGTGCACGCGTGCAGCAAAGTTGATGGTCGATGCATCGCGGCTGTAGGCATCCTCGAGGGCGAGAGCATGGGCATGGAAGGCCACCGGATCGGCCGTTGCGTCCAGGACATCGTAGATGGTCTTCCACTCGGCGAGATGGCTGTGTACGTCATGGACTGTTGGGCTACGCGCACGCGTCGCCTTGGCGAGCACGGTTTTGGCCATCGTCTGCAGCGCATCCAGCGACGCCGCCGCCGCTCGACCCAGCATCTTGCAAAGTGCAATCGGTGAAAAACACGGTGATAAATGAGTGTCCCGCAGTGTGAAATTCGGGCATACAGAAATTCTGTGTATTTCCCGCATTGTGTGAAATGTGAAATGAAAGGGTTCAACACACAACCAGCACGGTCGTTCCTGGTCGAGAAACTCTGCCACTCTACATGCCCACCAGTATTCATTCCTCCAGTACACTACTAATGCGGTCAATAGTATAGACAATATTAGACGACTTTCATTACAGACTGGGTGTGTCTCATATTTAATCCTCTTATATTAGCCGTGCGGGCATGCATTGGCCTTGTCCGGGGTGTCTATGGGATCAATGGGCACGTCGTGATCGTCGACGGCAGATCGCGAGGCAGCGACCGCGGCGAACAGGAGACCATAGCGCGCTCTCATGAAAATCGATTTATGAAGCCGACACAAAAATGCGACTTAGGCAGCGACTGTTCAGTTGCCAATCAACTTGGGGTTCATTATCATGGAATACACTTGGGTGACGTTGCCGCCGCCCGTGACACCGACTACAGTGGCATCGAGTACCCTTATTGTACATGTGCACGTCGCTCAATACATATATCCTCGACACCAGGATGAAGGCGCGATCCACTTGTATAGCCCGTCGGTCGTTTTAAAGCCGGCAGTTGTATCTTGTACCGTCGCGACGCAGCCAAATGAGCGTCCGCACCATCGCCATAGCTTTGACTTGAACTCATGGCAGAATCATGTTATAGGACAGCGAATTGCTCTGCGCCGCCGCCAAAGACGGTCTTCTGGATGACGTCCAACGCCTTCTCCAAGCTGGGGCCGACGTCAACCAACGTCACGACGGGGTACGTGTTGATCGAGGCTACGTTTCAACACATGGTTCTTATTGTAGTCAACCCCCCTCTTTGCTGCTGCTGCCAACGGACACGCAGCTGTCGTGGAGACGCTGTTGGCTGCTGGCGCCAATCCCTTTCAACCCAACGACGTACTGCGATAGCCTTGACGGAGCGTCTTATCTGGATCATGATGTGTAGGGAAAGGTCAAGCCTCGGGACGTTGCCGAGAAGAACGGTCATGCGTCCATCGTTGCAGTTCTGGACAAGGCTATGGACAACCTCGCACAACTCGTCATGGCACTGTACACGAACGACGCCGCTGCAACAATGCGTCTACTGCACGCCAATGTCCCCGTCACGATTCCGTACTTGGTATGATGATTCTACAGCTTTTCATGTCAACAAACCGTTGACTCTAAATTGTCCAGTCGACCGAGTGGCAAGTGGCGTTGCCGAAGACGTCAACCGACCCGAGAACGTATAGGGAAGTGCTGACGGTACTTCTTGAAACGAATATTGGATCCTATCAAATCTATTAGGGCGGATTCACGCCACTGCACATTGCTGCAATCGTGGGCTCGACAGAGCTCGTGGCACTGCTCTTGGCACATCCACGCATCGTCATTGACATCGTCGACGTAGGAACACCACTCGACTGAACCTCAACGCTCATTTCGTGTGTGTAGAGTCGGCGGATGCGAACACCGTTGCATTTGGCAGCAGAATATAACCATGCGGGTGTTGTCACTCTGCTTTTGGCTGCGCATGCCAACGTGCCCGCGCGTTCGATGGTACGCGACAGCCTTGGCCCCGAGGGTATACATTGCGATTCCCATAGGGCAACGATTCGCCCTTGCACTTGGCTGCAAGAAATGGTCACGACAGCGTCGTCTCGATACTGTTGGCTGCGAACGCCACCGTTGACTGCGTAGCCGTATCGTCATCACTCTGTCACAACGTCGATTGATCCTTATAAACGTTGTAGCATGACTGGACGCCCTTGCACTTGGCTGCACAAGATGGTCACGACAGCGTCGTCTCCATGTTGTTGGCTGCGAACGCCACCGTTGACTGCACAGCCGTAGCCTCATTGATTTCCACTCTTTCACACAGTCGATTGATCCTTCTAAATGTTGTAGAATGGTTCGACGCCCCTGCACTTGGCTGCACAGAATGGTCACGGCGGTGTCGTCTCGATACTGTTGGCTGCGAACGCCGCCATTGACTGCGCAGCCGTATCGTCATCGATTTGCACTCAACCACTTCGATTGATCATGACGAAAGGCGTAGTGGTGTCGGACGGCCTTGCACCTGGCGGCCCAAAACGGTCATGACAGCGTCGTCTCGATACTGCTGGCTGCGAACGCCACTCTAGACTGCACAGCCGTAGCCTCATTGATTTCCAGTCAGCCACTTCATTTAAAATGGCGTAGTGGGCTCGGACACCCTTGCTCTTGGCTGCACAATATGGTCACAGCGGTATCGTCTCCATGCTGCTGGCTGCCAACGCCGCCGTTGACTACACATCCGTATCGTCATTGATTTCCACTCTGTCACATAGTCGATTGATCATTCTAAATGTTGTAGGATGGTTGGACGTCCTTGCACTGGGCTGGCCAATTTGGTCACGACAGCGTCGTCGCGATGCTGTTGGCTGCGAACGCCAATGTAAACGCACATATCGAGGTACTGAGTCGCATTCCATGGTATCACGCCATCGATAGCATCACTTAGAGCGGAGAGACGGCAATCTTTTTTGCGGCTAAAGCAGGGCACCTTGACGTTGTGAAGCGTTTGCTGGCCGCCGACGCCGACCCAAATTTTCCCAACCAAGTATACTCGTGTTCAAATCCACTTGGAATTCAGCTTTTTCGTGTCTCACGTAGGACAACGAGACACCCTACGAGATTGCTCGGATTAATGGGTACAAAGAAATCACGGCCGTGCTCTATGAAGCTGTCAACCCAGGAAGATGCCATGTCGTTCCCTCTTGTGTCTCGAAGTATCATTCATGGACAAATAGATGTCCATTTCGGACGCTGTTTTCACGGAAAACACAGAAGCCGTTGACGGACTACTCCGTTGTGGCGTTGATCCCAACGCTCAATACGAGGCACGTCACTCTTCCTGAATGCGTCAACTCGCTCACTGACCTGGGCGCGTCGAGTAGCCACCTGCCGCGCCCGACGCTGCCGGCGTCGGGGTTTTGGTACTCGTGGCCAAAGCCAAAGCTCGCATCAACGTATTTCAGCAGCAATCGCGACGACACTTTTGACTTTATATCGTTGTGAATCTACCGGTAGGACGGGAGCTATCTATTGCACGTGGCAGCTGCTCTTGGCTCGGACGCCATCGTCCAACGTCTCCTCGACCAACCAAGTATCAAAGTTGATGCTCTCGACAGCGTAATCATGCATGTGTCTCACTTTCTATTTGACAATTCTGTCCGTCTTGTCGTAGACGAGATCAACGCCGCTGTATGTGGCCGCCACCCACGGACATCATACTGTCGTGCAACAGCTTCTTCGCTCCAACGCAGACGTGACGCTGGCCACAGAGGTCCCTTCTAGCATTCAATGGCGGCACATACCAGCTATGACGGCGTAGGCAATGCAGACACCGCTGCATGTTGCCGTCGCCGCCGGGCATCACAGCGTCGTCGAGGTGCTTTTGGACGCTGGCGCCAGCGTGGACTGCAAGAACAACGTTCGTTGCAGCTTACGTTTGTATAGCGCTGCTTTTTCCAACTGATGGTTGTAGGACCACAAGACGCTGTATAAGCTGGCCCTCGAGCTCGAGAACGAAGAGCTCCTCGCCCTTTTCCGAGCACGAATGGACACCTCCGAGACCAACGACGCGCCGCTCAACACGACACCGGTGTAAGGTCTGAGCACATAGACACGCAACGTGCCGGTCAAGGTCCACACCACCAACTCGTTACCTGTATATGTGAATACGAATAGCTGAAAGTTCGCGAGTCTAAACAAGAAGAATATTTCGAGACAGCAAACAGGGCTCTACAGCCGGTCTATGGTAGCTCGGACGCAACAGTCGAGCCGCTCATTCGGAGCACTGTGGTGTGTTATGTACCGATGCTACAGTCGCCGTCGCGTGGGTCGTGGCTATTGACCTCGCCTAGCCCCAACGACAATGCCTGCTCCACCGAGACCTTGAGAGCTCCAATATCCTTCTCTTGACGACCATCTCCATCAAAGTGAGTGATCTCGGACCTGCGTTCTCGGCGTAAACTGCGCCATCGTCACCGATGCGTATGGTGGCATGCCGTTCTGGACGGCCCCCGAGATGCTTCGGAAAGGCCAGACGCATACGGACAAGGCGGACATTTACTCGTTTGGGATCATTTTGATCGAGTTGGAGACGCTTCAGCTGCCGTATGCGACGCAGGACATTGACGACTGCACCTTTCGAGGCGAAGTGCGCGATGGAAAGCTGCAGCCGAGTCTCAGTACAACCTGTGCGCCGTGGCTGCGGGACCTCATCTCTCGCTGCATCGCGTACAACCCGTCGCAGCGTCCATCAGCCCAAGAGATCGTCGATGTGCTGCAAAATCGAGCGGAAGACTAGGTCTTGGATGTTGAAGGGCAATAATGCTCGAACAGTTCACAGACCATTGAATAGAATGACGTTTATGCCATTCTGTGTGCAGTGCGTCACATTACTGGGCTGTGAGCAATATCTATAGTACGATATTCTTCCTTTCGGTCGAGCTGGACCTGTTGCAGCAGCTGCCGTTTACCACTCGAAACATTGAGATGTTCAAGGGCAACGGGAGCATCGGAAGCTTGCGGCCAGCGATATCGATCGGCAATGATTATCGGTGGCTCACCTACACAGCTCGAATTCCCTTTCATCAACTGGGCACTGTAGCCTACTAGACCGTAGTACACACCAACATATTGCATCTCCATCGGCCTTCGAAATTGCGACTTTGACGTACGACCAAAGATCCATTTTGTCATCCCTGATTGGCTGCTCGATATTTCGATTCGGCCAATCAAACGCGATATGGTATCTTGCATTTCGAGGCTGGCAACAACGATGGCAGGCGGCGCCGACGACGTGGCACGCGGGCGACAGCTGCTCTCAACAACGCTCGACAACAGCGTGGCGGACGTCGCCTATCTTCTTGGTGCTGGCGTGAGCCCGCACTGGCAGTCTTGGGTACGGCTCCATCGTCGTAGCCAACTCACAAGCTCATGTAGCAAAATGCGACACCGCTCTATCTAGCTGCCATGCTCGGCCACACCGCAATCAATCGCGCAGCTGCTCGTGCGTGCTGAGGCCAACGTCAGCCAAACACCACTGGTAAACGATGTCTCTTGCAGGGCGGCGTGCGTATAAGGACCATTGGTGTTGGCGAGCATACCTCCGACCGCCTTCTTGTCGCTGACGCACGAGGAACGCGAGATGCTGCGCGCCGACTGGACTGCCAGCGCGCACTACGTACGCAATACCATCGATACATGCGTATCATGCATGGTAGGATGGCCCAACGCCGCTCTTTATCGTTACGCAGAACGGCCATCTCGACGTTGTCGAGGTATTAACAGGAAAGGCCGTGGCCGCTCGCCATGGCCTAATTGATGCCGTGCAGCAGCTCATTGCTGCCAAGGCTACTGTCAACCTCGTCAACCGTGTACACCGTTCGTTCACTTGTCATCCTCTCAATATGGCTGCTAGGACGTTGTGACGCCCTTGTATGTGGCCGTCGAGAAGCGACACAAGATGATTGTGGACCTGCTTCTTGCCTCGGGCGCCGACACCAACGGCGTGCGCCAGGTACATTCTAGTGCAACGTCCCGCCGCCAAAAGCTTTTGATCGAACTCGACCACGGCGCTCTACTGGGCCGCCCAGCTCGGCCTTCTCTCAGTTGTTCAGAAACTTGTGGTTGGCGGCGCTAACATTGGCCACGTCGCCGCCGTACTACTCTGAGCTGTCGACAAAGGTGTGGGACACCATTCGTTTGAATCCGTAGAACAACGCGACCGCCCGGCTCACCGCGCTCGTCCATGAACATTACGACGTTGTGGCCGCTTTGGACCATGCCCGCCGATACCACCTTGGTAGCGTGTCTGTGGAGCAACTCGGGGCTCCAAAACAGATATTTCACTCTTCGCTCAATCTTCCAGACGAGCATGCTTGGAGCAAGTGCCAGCGCTGCATCGCGCCGTGAGCCGCGGCCAGACAGCGCTCATCGCCTCGATGTTGAAGGCAGAGAGTACGGCCGTCCATGCGCGGGATGGGGTAAGCATCCCACGTGATGTCTGACTACCGACGTGTTGATAGTATGACCAAACCGCACTACATGTGACGGCGGGGTCGAATCAAGCAGAGATCACGGCGCAGTTGCTCCACTCTTCTCTGCCAGGACGTGGTAGGCACGTGGCTGCGAATACCCGACACTAGAACACAAATAGGATGGAAACACACCACTGCACCTGGCCGCGATTTTTGGTGTTGGCCCCATCATTGATCAACTTGTCAAGAAGGCCCCTGACGCCATGGACGTCATCAACCAGGTAGACAAGAGTGTTGTCAGTTAAATTGACGTACTTGTATGCACTCGAGGACGGTTGGGCAGCCATGGCCATCGCCGCACGCAATGGCCGCACAAATCTCGTCGAGTAATTCCTCCAGCACAGCCGACCCTAACCTCCCTAGCGCCTTTGATTTAGCGAATCATTTTGACGTTTATGGACAGCTCAATTGCACGAGCTCTGACCATTCACGTAGCACAACGCTGCACGGGAGCTATAGACGATGACGACGATAGAAATTGCTCACCGTTGGCGTGACGCGGCGGCGTGGAAGGCTAGACTGCACGATTATCCACTTCTGCCGTGTCTATCGGGACGAACAAAACTCCCGTTTGTGCTAGCGACGGCAAGTCCTACTTAGACATATGGGACAAACCTATGACGAGACCTTTAGCTGCCGCGCTTGTTGTTGCGATGCGAGGAAATGGCGCCGCCGAGAGCCACTCGAAAATGTGGCCATTCGAAAAGAACAACCGGGCGGATGTTCGATGCTTGACCTCGAACGACCGCAAAACGCCAAGTATTGCATTCGCGTTTTCGTGCCAAAGCCGCAATGCACCGCGACGTCTCGTGGTGGCGCTTCAACCGAAGCTATGGCGCTGTGCCTGCCAAGTCTCCGTTCCACGTCTTGCATGGTCGGCGCGGGTCGATGGTCGACGATGCGAGCGATGATGTCGCCGTGGACACGACGACGGATGCAACCATGGTTCGACTTCTCGACGAGGACAATGTGCTCGTGGTGCTGCAGCGACTGCGCGATCGAACGTACACGCCCGAGGATCTCCAAACGGCCGAGGTAGACACGACGTATTGTCCTGGCTTCGGAATCGGGAACAGGTGACGTAGGGCCCGGAGAACGTGACCGTCCTCTCGAAAGCGTGCGAGCTCGGTCTCGTGGATGTGGTGACGCTCCTGCTGGAAACGACACCGTACGCCACCATCCCCAAGGTACGCTTTGAGTCCAACACACACTCGAAAGTGCAAACTCGTAGTACTTGATCTGTCCGCTTCGGGAAGCCGCGAGCAACAATCGCGTCGCCATCCTCAAGCTACTGCTTGCGAAGCTCCCCGACATGGACGTCACGGCCAAGCTACTCGACGAAGTGCAGGAAACGCCCGTTGATGAGCCGGGAACGGCCTCGCAAGGCCCGAAGAAGGAGACAAAGAAGCCGAAGACACCACTCGTACGCCCGGTGCCATTCTTCAACAGGGTCAACCAACGTGGAGTAGGCTGGCGGCACGGCACTGCATTTCGCGGCGTGGGGCGGCCACAACGAAGTGCTTACGCTGCTTCTCCCGTATTTCACCAACGTGGACGTGGAAGACAATGTACGCTCGCTTGCTAGTAGCGATACCTGTCACTGCATTTTAGGTCGGTGAGACACCGTTGCACGTCGCGGCCAAGCGCGGCCAGGCCCTCGCCGTGAAGCGGCTACTCAGTAGCGGGGCGAACGTCAACGCGCGTACCAAGGTAGCTTGCAACCTCCTACATCATCGACGGACAGCGGCGTAGCAAATGGAGTCGCCATTGCATTTTGCCGCCGAGTCGTCCAACACCAACGTGGTGGACCTCCTCCTCTGCGCCAATGCGGTGGTCGATTTGAAAAGCGCGGTGCGACGACTCATTGTCCATTATGGTTGCTGACAATGTAAACGTAGAACGGCCAGACACCGCTTCAGGTCGCGCGTGCTGACAGTATCCGACTGCTCTTGGACCGCGAAACGCGGCTCCGCGACACGTACCGCGGGCACTGCCTCGCCCGCGCCGGCGACCTTGCGCGCGTGGACCACTGGATCGGCAGTCTGCTCGGCCAGCACTTTGAGCACTTCAAATGGGTGCACATCGATGGCTCGTTCATCGACCTTTCGGTCGTGCCCGACGTGTCGCTCCAGACGTATCTGGTGGCAGGTGACGCCAGCGACGGACGACCCGTCATTGGCACATGGCGCCGCGCAGACAACATGCTCGAGCTCTTTGTGCGCAACACGACGTACAACGGTGTCGTGGATCTTGACGCGAGTACGTGGAAAGGTGTGAGCGCGACGACGCCGCCTCTGCACTACACGGTGCCGACGTGGCTCTGCGTGGTCTGCAAAGAAGCTCACGTGTCCAACCACGAAGCGCCCTGCTTGGCGTGCGTCGAGACGCAGGGTAGCAACGACATTGTTGCAGCGTATCGCCAGCGCATCCAGGACGCCGCCGACCACGTTACAAAAGCGCTCAGCGAGCCTGAATTTGTACACCTTGTTCAATGTCCTTGTTGTCTCATGCGAGGGTTCGTAGGACGGTCAAACAGTCGTCATGTATGCGGCCAAGTATGGTCATTTGAACCTCCTGCGCCGATTCCTGCCGTACTGCACCGAGTCGCTGCTTCGGATGACGGACATTGTACGCGATTTGAATCGACATGGATGGATGAACTTACATGTGTGTGGTAGAACCAACAAACAGCCATGGATCTCTTGGCAAAAGGCGCGTTTACGTGTACGACCAAGGCCGCGGACGCGCACAACGAGGCGTTGGTGAGCGTCCTCGCGGAGCTCTGTCGCATCGCCAAGACGCCGCTGGACCCGGCCCGCCTGGTATGCGAGCTGTACTGCTCCATGCGTCTTATAGACACACATGGCTAGTCGCACGTGGATCGTCAAGGCGATGCGCGACTGCAGTGCTGCGGTAGTCAAATGGGTCGCGTGGACGAGTGGCTCGCGGAGCTTGCCGAATCCAAGCAGTGGGATGACCTCAAGGCGCACTTTCTGAGCATCCCGCGGGGCCAGCTCTTGGTCGATGACCAGACGCCAGCGGTGCGTCGATTGGCATAGCACACGCGCGATATGACAATGTGTTGTAGGGCCGCAAAGTGTGGCACCACGTCTGCGTGCAAGGGCGACTAGACATCCTCGGGCTTCTTCTCCAGCAGCCGTCGTGCAATGTACAACTGGTCTCACCCATCGTACGTCGTTTTCCATCTGCAATAGTCCAACAACTCGACTGTATTTTGGCGACTAGTCGAATGAAACTATGCTCTACCTTGCGGCCAAGCACCGTCGTGTCAAGTGCGTCGAGCGACTGCTACGCGCCGGCGCGGACCCCGAAACGTTCCACGTACAACCGTCCCATGGCAAGGAAATCAACGCGGCAATGTACATGCCACGTAGGAATACCTGTCCGATGCGAGCCTTGCTTGGCCATCGTCCCACTGCAAACAACTCATTACGGACAAACAAGCCGTCAAGAAGTTCCATAGTGCTTTCTACACGGCCAACGTGCCCAACATGGAGGCCGTCAACGAGCTCAAAAAGGTATATCTCAACGCCGTTACCCCGCCAGTGGTATGAGTCTCGTCCTGGGCGTAGGCGAAGCGGTCGGCACTGCACGCAGCCATCGTATACGAGCAGCCCCCGAGCGTGATTCTTGCGCTCTTGGCGCAGGTCTCGCCGCAGATCAACGGAACCGATCGCGTCTGTCACGTTTGATTTCTTATCCCAACTTATTGTTGCCGCTAGAACGGTGACACGGCGTTGATGCTAGCCGCGCGTCTTGGACAAACGGAAGCCGTCAACTGCCTTCTGAACGTCAACGCCAAAGTCAACATCAAAAACGAGGTACAGGTCGAAAATCGCGATGCGATACGCACGCCTACATGCCGCGTAGAACCGCGAGACAGCGCTTTTCCTTGCCGCGCTCGGGGGCACGTGGAGATTGTCAAAAGTCTCATCGAACGCTACGCCGACATGGACGTTGTGTGCACGGTGCACAAACCAGCCCTTTTTGAGCCTTCTCAAAAGCAGATGTGTTAGAACGGCACGACGTTGACAAAGGCGCTGGCGGTGGCCGTCATGGATACCAAGCAGCACGAGAAGCGGAACGCCTTCCTTATGATCCAATCGCTGCTTGAGAGCGCGGTGCAGCAGCGCGGGTCGCCCGAGTTTCGCAAATACCTTCTCTCCCAACTCGTCTTGAAAGACACGGACGAGGCGTTCTCGAAGCAGGCCTTCCGCAAGGCGATCACGTGTGCGCCCGCACTCGGCCGCATTTTTCTCAACGACTGCGTCGAATTGCACCGCCACGACGTGAGTTTCAGCCAGGTAGACAATGCAACCGCCGCATGCAGCTCTCAATGTAACTGTAGCTCGAACATGTGTACGGTTCGACGGCCGACGGCAGTGCGCTGCATGCGATTCTGCACCTCCAGTCGGTCAACCCCGAGCTGCTTTTGGAGGCCAAAACCGAGTGCTTGGAACATATTGTCATGGTGCGCATGCTCCAAATCAAGTGGGAGCTGTTTGCCGAGCGCAAGTACATTGAGCAGTTGCTCATGAACGTGCTTTTGCTCATCACGATGACGACGTCGGCGCTGCTCTTCGACGAGTCGAGTATCGCGGCCAACACGGGCCCGATGCTTCTCGGAACGTTCGTTTTTGTCAACACGATCGTGGGTTACCTCGTCGTGCAAGGCCTCCGGCCGCCGTATCTTTATCGGCTCGCGCGCATGTGCTACGACGGACGCTTTGCGCTGGACCTCTCGGTCTCGATTCCGCACCTCGCCAAGTACAAGATGAAGGCGAAGTGGCTCCTAGCATCCGCGAGCATTTGTCTCTCGCTTTTGATTGTGCTGCCGGTCGTGGCCATGCTCGTCTTCTCTGGTCTAGCGCGCTACTACCCGATGAGCAACAATTTCATTTTGTGGCTCACGTCGCTCTACTTTGTCGTGACCGAGCTCGAAGAGATGCTCTCGTCCGGTGTTGCCAACTACTGGCAGTCGCGCATCAACCAGGCCCAGCTTCTCGCCAACGTGGTCATTCTGATCGTTTTCGTGCCCATGAAACTGGGCTTCTTGCCGGCGCCGTGGGCGGTGCAGACGGGCGTCGGCGGCGCCATCACGATCGTGCTCTGGATGCTCTCGCTGCAGTTCCTCGAGGTCGTGCCGGCCGCCGGGTACCTCCTCCCGATGATGGCCAAGTTGCTTCAAGACGTGCGGAATTTTTTCATTTTCTTCGGCGTCGTTCAAATGGGCCTCACGATCACGTACTATCAACTCTTTCGCAACCAAGACGCCGAGGCGTTCAACACGATTGGCGAGTCGTTTGTGACGACGTACTTTGTCGCGTTTGGCCAACTGCCGCTCGACTCGCTGAGTGCGTTTGACGCGACGGACCCGTACGACGTCTTTCTCTCGCAGTGCACGCTCGTGCTCATGATGTTTCACTCGGCTGTCGTGGTCATTCTGCTCCTCAACGTCCTTCTCGCGATGATGAACCAAACGGTGGACGGCGGCCTCGAAAAGGCCAAGACGGAGGCGCTTGCGAGCTACGCGCAGTGCATCCTCCGCCTCGAGCAAGCCATGCGTCTCACGCCCAACGAGACGAGCGACCTCATCCATCTCGTCGACGCGGCATCCAAGAAGCGCGTGCTCAATCCGATCTTCTTGGAAGTCGTCTCGCACGCGCACGTCGCGCTGCGACCGGACCACGAAGAGTCGATTCGCGCCGACAATATGCGCAAGGCCGTGTGGAAGCGCGTGGTCGCGCCGTTGGAAGCGGCGATTCCCACATACGTCGAGACCTTGGAGAGCCTCTTGCGCCGCGTGCATCATTTCAGCACCGATGGCAGCGTGCTTACGGGTTTCACCCCCGAGCTCCGCGCGATCGACGACGCCAAAGAGAAGCTGCGTGACCTATTTGCCAAGGCCAAGAAACACCGCGGCGACGACATGCCCACGCAGCTTAAAGCGCTCAAGAAGAGCATCAAGTCGACGATCCGAACGCTGCGGGTCGCGGTACAGAGTCGGTGGCGGCCGGACGAGCAGATCGAGCCGCTCGACGCCCACAGTCGCGCAGTCTATTTCTTCCAGCTCGTGCACGCCAGCAACATTGATGTACCGTTGAAAGCCATGGCCGACAGTGTCGCGGTGGCGCTTGAAGCGGCCGAGGTCCCGGCGCCTCAAAATGCAGATGTGACGGAGAAGGAAGACGCGTTGATGTCGACGCTTCGGTCGTGGATGCTGGAGGTCCGGCGCGACACCAAGGCCATGCGAAACGCACTTACCATGGCGAGCGCGGGCGAGGTTCGGGTCTCCGAGTCGTCGCTGCAGCAGCAAGAACTGATGGAAAGGCTCTCGGATGCGCTGGACCAACTCCGCCGCGGCAAAGACGCAAGTAGCCAACGCACCGACTCGTTCCCGGTCGTCGACCCGCGGCACCGCGAGCCAAGCGAGAGCGGCCCGTTCCACGATCCTCTTTGATTCGTTTGTAATACATTATCAAGTTGGTATTCTTTTGAGCTGCATCGAGAGGATACTATGATACGTGTGATGAAGCCATGTGACAATATTGGACAATGGAGTGGGACATGGGAAGGACGAACTTGGTCGTAGAAAGACTGGAATTGCGTACATGGTGCATACTAGTCGGCACTTCTCGATAACAGGTCCCGTGCGGGGTGAGCTGGTAGGAACTTTTGAATACAATATATGTACCGGTATATATATGAACGTGTTTCGCGCTATCTTCGTTGTTACATTGAGTTCGCATACGTAGAGACTAGCTCTTCTTCTTCATTATTCGTTCACCGGGCCGTGGCTGCGCAGGCGGCGGCGAGGGGGCTCGTCTTGCTCTTCTGTCGTCGCCCGGGGGCGCTTGCGGCCGCGGGTGAGGCCCATGACGACACACTGTGTAAAAGCCTTTCAGGCTTCGTCGTCGGGGGCGAGCTACGCAGTTTGTTGAGATCCTCGAGAGTCGCCAGCAACTGAGGCGGCGTCAACGACTGGAGTTCGCGGTGCTGGACGATCGGCAACGTAATCTTGGTGCGGCCTAAAAACGGGGTGCGTCGGGCGTGGCAAAGAAGCGGACGGCGGCAATGTTGGCAGGGACGTCTTCCTTCAGGCGCAGCACGTGGCCCAGCAGGCGCCAGGCTGGCGGCGAAGATCGGGCTCAGCGGGACGATATGGGCAGCGCTTATAGAGTGCGACGTCGCCGAGCGTGATTGGGATACCTAGTTCCAGCGGCTGGAAGCTGTCAAGGCCCGCAAGGCTCGTTGGCGTCAGGGCCCACGTGCCACAGTTGAACTTTTGAATGCTAAGCACTGCTTACCAGTATTTGCGACGACGGCGCGTTGGCCTAGACAAAAGTCAACGCGCGACCTTCGCTGCGCTGCGGTGCGCAGACTTTTCCGGGCCAACGCGCCGTCGTCGCTTGTTGCAGTCTTCAACGTGGCATCGCACCTGGGTCATCTTGGT